GCCAGAATTCAGCAGCATGAGCTACTGAGTTAATCCTACACAGATAGCTAGGAGCTGTGCTCAGGCAGTGTTTCCCCCTCAGGGATGGGGCTCTGGTGCTGGGGATGACAGGGAGGAAGGACTAGACTGGTTAGTTTTACTGGGGTTACCTACTAAATAAGGAAATTGGGTAAAACAAGCACCAAAATGGCTTGGAAATGGACACTAGGGGCATCCCTGCTCTCCAAAGAGGATTCCGTCCCATTTAGAATATGCCCACGACTTTAGAAGAACCACAGTGTTCTAGCTTCATTCTGGCAAAAAGAAACTAGAAGGGGTAAGTTTTCTTTCAGCTTACACTTGCAGGTAACATTCCCTCACTGAAGGAAGTAAGGGCAGGAACATGGAGCAGAAAGCATGGAGGACAGCTAACTGCCATCTCCCTCTCTGGCTCTCTTAGACCTTCCAAGGCATGGTGTAGGCCACAGTAGACTGGCCTCTCCTGCATCAATCATTCATCAAGATAGTCTCACAGACATGACCATAGGCCCGCTGACACAGGAAGTTCTTCACTGAGGCTTCCTCTTCCTGGAAGACTCAGGTTGACAGTAAAACTAACCAGGACATGTAGCCATTTGCAGGGTCATTGGATTATAAGTGGCTTTGTTCCAACTCTAAGGAATAGAGACCAGTTCTGAAGTTTTAGCCACATGTGGCTTGGAACCCACAAACTCAATGAGTAGAGACCGTCCCAAAACTGGTAAAGCCGGGGCAGCCTTTGTTATCCCAGCTAACTACTTGTCATAACCTCAATGGCACAGGCAAGTTGGGTTTGCCATAATCCAGGTGTCACCTGTACTGCATCATTGATATGTCAAAGTCTCAAACGGTGAGACTAAAAGGTGAAATCGGCACAGCGTCCATGGTGCCATGGCTGTCCACTCAGAGAGCAGCCCATGCTGCAAGTTGGACTCTGCTGGGCCCTGGTTCTTCCCACTCATCCTAGACTCCTTGCTTCTCTATCCTGGCAGCTGCCTGGTGGCTCCAGAGGCCGACTAAGAATGAGGCCCCTTCTGTTGCCACTTTTTCTTGTTCTCAATCACCAGGTTGTTGTGGAATATTACTTTTAGGTGTGTTACATTCAGTTATGCTGTAGAATATTTGTTTAATGATGCAAAGATGTGTTGCATTCTTTTATGTTGCATTTGTTTAACTCTGTCTGCCTAAAGCACCTGATATGTCTAATTAAGAGCTGAATGGCCAATAGCAAGGCAGCAGAGAGAAAGAGGTAGGGCTGGCGGGCAGAGAAAATAAATAGGAGGAAAAATATATAGAAGAGGGAGGAGTGAGAAAGGGAGGAGAGGGGGAGGCTACGGGCCAGCCACCCAGTCACACAGTCACACAGCCAGTCACAGAGTAAGAAGGAAAGATATATAGAATAAAGAAAGACAAAAGGCACAGAGGCAAAGTGTGGTTAGAGAAACAGCATAACTTAAGTTAGAAAAGTTGGCTAGAAGCAAGTCAAGCTAAGGCCGGGCATTCATAAGTAAAACTACACTTCCACGTATTTATTTGGAAATTTGGAAGATGGGGTGGTAGGCCCCCAAAGAGAAAACAACTACACCAAGTCCCCTAGGGAGAGATGTATAGTTAGGAGTATCACCCATCTGCTTTAGCTGAAACAGGGAGAGGCCTTTCTTTGCCTTCTCTGCTCTGTGCACAGCACCCGTTCTTTTCTGGGTGCTGGCCTCAAGAGCTGCTGTCATGGCCTCCCTCTCTCCCTCTGGCCTCTGTCGCCCTTCTCCTGGCTTCTGCTCTATAACAACTTTTCCACAGGGGTTCCTGACAGCCACATTTTTTTTTGAATGAAAATATGTCTAACTTCAAAAGTAAATGAAAAGACAGTCAGTCAAAATACAAAATTTTCTTCTCCTTTTGCTTCTCAGGTACAGGGACTTAACTGAGCATATGTCTTTATTTGGGGTAATGTAACATGAGGGGGCCTGCTTGTTGGGGTGTCATGAGCCACTCGAGTCTCTGATTTTAGTTAATTTTTGAATCCCCTTTCTGACTTCTGCTCGAAACTATGAAAACACTCGTGTGTTTTATTTGTCAGTGTTTAGTGTTCATGGGAATAGGATTGTGGGGTGATCTAGGTCATTGTTCCTGCCACCATGGAAAAGATAATTGAGGCATCCATCAGGAAGGGAGCACTCTCAGAAGGAGGATTTCCAAACAGGTATTAAGAAATCACAGCTGGGGAAGAGCAGAACTCCAGCAGAGGCATCCATCAGGAAGGGAGCACCCTGGACAGCAGGGCATCCAAACGGGTCTTTACAAAACACAGCTGGGAAGGAGGCTGAACTCCATCATCCTACAGCATAGTAGGTTAACTGTGGCAACAATTAAATGACTATGTCAAAACAGCAAGCAGAGAGGATTTTGAAGGTTTCCCAGTTTCTAGCACACACCCAAAAAAATTCAGCAGGTCTGAGCTGGTGGACGTACCAATTACTCATCTGCTCAACGTGTGTCGTATACCTGTGTGAAAATGTCACAGTGCCCCGCATAACTATGTGTGAATATTTAATATAAAAAAATGTGGGCCACATCATGAATGAATGCTTTCAAAGATGAAAAACAGGCACTTGACTGCACAGAAACTGTTGTCAATTGAAGACAAATCAGAGATGAAAACATGATATCTTAGAATAAAAATATGAGCTAGTGATAAACCAGTTGGATCTGTCTTGGAACCATGGGACCATGATCTCCAATTGCTTTGTGGGAAGAGGTCAGTGACTCAGCAGGCACCTCCTCACTCTACTTCTCTCCTTCTGGCCTTAGACCTCTCTCTAGACCTAGCCACACCCACAAAGCCGCCCTCTGTTCCCAGTGGTCCTGTTGATGGTGGGGACTCTTTATTCTCACCTAAGCTGCCTCTCGGCTCTGCAGAGTCCACATCAACTGCAGAATTCCATCTTGTACTGGGGACAGCCAGTGCATGAGCTACAGCTACTCTCACTTCTGTCCAACCTTTGCTCCTCATCCCGCAGTCCTGCATCAGTCAACAGCTCAAGCAGCCTCCCTGGTCAAATCTAAAGCAAACTGCTCCTGCGGGAACCACAGCGTGCTCCCATTTGAAAGGGGAGGCTGTCTGCCCAGAGGCTTCAGCTGTGAGCGCCATTTGCATGAATAAACAGCTCTGAAGGGTTCAGCTGAAGCTTTTATGTAAACACTCTCCAAAATATGTTCTGTGCTGCATTATCCCCAGCAATAAAGATTCTGGCACCGGAATTTGGCTGTCGGTTTTATTGATGTTGCATGGGGTACAGTAGAATGCAGCTTTCTCTTCCTGAAATTTATTGGCATGGCAGTGTGGAGAGCAATAAAACTGTGTTTTTAATCAGTAAGCCGAGCAGACAGGATTCCAGGAGAAATATAGGAAACAAAGATGCCATGGCAAGGAGGTTTCTCCCTCCACTGCCCCTACTGCTCTGAAAGCTCTGGTTAAAGAAGATTGGGGGAGGGGTGTCCTCAAGAACAGAACCAGAGAACCTTGTTTGCATTATTCCTCTGTCTCTAAGAAACTGTTGAGTGAAAGCATTTTCCAGAAATGAAGTTTCTGAAATTCCTCTGCATTATCCAAGGGAGGAATTGCTGATGACTGGATTTGTGAGAAAAACAGAGAGGGTAGAACACTCTAGAACAGTCTCCCATGAGAAACAAGGTATATTGCTTTGCTTCCCAACAGAGAAAAGATTAGGACTTAAATGTGCAATATTCAGTGCAAAAAAGGAAAGGCATTCTGAGGCAGTCTGCTTGGTTGTTCCTTGGTCCATTGACTCAATCTCTTCAAGACCGAATTTCTCCTGTTAAAGGAAGTACCCGTTTCATCCCACTGTCCTACTGTCCTGTGGATTAAATGAAGTTATAGGTGGGTGGACAACACTCACACGGGAGCTTCTGAAGGCAGCAAGTCCTCTCTGTCACCCATTGACTGAAGCTTGCTATCAGAGAGGAAGTGAGCTTTCCTAGTGGCTAAGTGAGCTCCTGGGCGACCATGAGCGACCAGGCTGTTCTCACACGTGTACCGGATATGTCCTGATCTACTTCCTTCATAGCCTTGGGCCCAAATGTCTTGAGCCACTGCAAACACTCAACCAATGGTTGAATAATTGTCCTTGCCTTGGAACTGTATCTCCTAAATTCTCCTTCTTTCAGGGTCCTTAGACATTCCTAGGTCTCTCAGCACTGGCTTTGCTGTAGTTAACTGTCACGGTTTTCTCGGTACTTACATCCTGTGCAGCTTTGGGGACAACTGTAAGAATTCTTAGGTGGTCCCTGTAGCTTTGAGTGTCCGAAGGAAACACTCCCTCAGATGCCACGAGATGCCCAGGTTCTAACGAGAGGCAGAAAGTGAACCGATTCAGAGACTGGAAAAAGGCCCCTGCAATAGGTCATGAGGTTGAGACAGAAACATATCCCAGTGGATCTTTCCTGTTCCCACTCACAGGGCTTCTGATTGTCATCCCCCCACTTCTCTCCTCAGACCCCCAAATAGCTTCTTGTCCACCCTTCAAAACCAAGCAGAATGCTTCAGAACTGGTGACTATTTACTTGGTGTAGCTCTGTTTGGGGCTATCCTGATGAAACCTCTCAAAATTTCTCCAAGACAGGAATTGTTACTGAAGCAGAGTGCTTACATGGCCTGCTCAGGGCTGTATGACGGGTAGAGGGAGTGTGAGGATTCATGGCCTGCTCGGGGCTCTATGACCAGGAAGAGGAAGTGTGGAGATTCGATTCCAACATTCGTCGTCTTCACCAGCCAGTGACGCATTCTGATAAGGACCAGGAATGACTCCTTAGATGATTAAACCGGAATCCAGTTGTTAATCTTACAGTGGCAAGTTCACACACATGTACACATGTGCGTGCTTGCACACACACAGACACACCTCACACACACAACACACTGTTCATGAACTTGAAGTCCCAACCTTTTCTTTTTTCTTTTCCAGATCACTCACCTATCTCCCTGTCAAAGTGATCCCATCTGAGGCTTTCAAGGGACTTAATGAGGTTGTACAAATGTAAGTAAGATACTGCACATCAAAAGACATTTATAATTGAAATAAAGATTTTTTTTCTAAGAGAAAAACACAGTTGAAAGGGGATAATTTTTTCTAGGAGAGAAACTGTGTTTAGGAAACCCAACTATTTTTATCTTTATAATACAAATAATATCTAGCAGCCTTTGAAGAAATGGTATGATTTTTGAGAGTCATTAAAATCCAGATAATTAACCTTGCTTCAAAGAACTGAATGCATTTTGATAAGCGATAATATTCTTTTTAAGTAGAAAAGAGATAGATTCCAATCATAAAAGTTCCCCTTCTGCCTCAACAGCTATTCCCTAATGTCACCTTTTTTTGATAACTCCCACATTGATGAAAATATGTTAGAAGTTTATTGTGCATCATAAGATAATCATTGTATCTAAAATATAACAAGTGCCTAACAAAAGCCCAGGATTTATAACTGTGCTGATGAAAAGCGTGCAGCAAAAGCACGAAGCAGCCCCGGATGCCGTATGATCTCGTGTTCCTCAGGGAGACTTCGGGCTCTTGGTCCTGAGTTTCAGCTTCCAGAGCCGAAGATCTCATCCACAGGACAAAAACTCTCTAGGAAAGAGAGCTTTGCGTGTCCTCATTAACACCAGCCTGAGGCAAGCTAGCTCAGTGGTCATTTCCTCCCTCACAGGCCACCTCTAAAAATTCAGGTGACTGCCCAAGTAGATTTGCGTACCCACACAAGACAGCACTGACCATATTAGCCCCACAGGGAACCTCTGCGGTTCTTTGTTATTAGCAAGCAATGATAACATTAAAAATATGATCATATAAAGAGGACTTCCTGCTCTTGCTAAGGACTGGAGCTTGGTCCCCAGCATCCATGTTGTGTGACTCGTAACTGCCTGTAACTCCAGTTCCAGGAGGATCAATGCTGTCTTCTGGCCTCTGAGGGTACCTTTACACGCATTTAGATACACACAGAGAGACATACACACAACACATAAAATAAATGTTAAAAACTCTAAGTCCTCAATAACAGTGTGCATTACAGGAGACTCACTGCAAGTTGCATATGTGGGTTTGAGAGCCTGTCCAGGCTCTTCTGCTTGTTTAGATGTTGAGTTTCTGTAACTTTCAAGGCATTGAGACTTCCTACTGAGAAAAGTGGGCACAGTTAAGTAAATAAACCATCAGACAGGGATGAGATGAAAGAGCCCAGGGGCCATCCATTACAATGTTGTTGCCTTAGGCTCTGCCTCTCTGTGAGCCTAGCTCTCCTGGAGTCTGAAGCCTTCAGTGAGCATTAACCTTAGAAATGCACAAACCCATCTGTAAGCAACTTTCCTAAGATGACACAGGTCCAGGATTTGACTAAATTGTCTATATTTCTGAGTCTAAGCTGGTCCTTTGCACTTATGAGCCTTCAAAGTATAATTGTTACATAGATGAACAAAAACACAAACTCCACTTGTAAATGGAGACATTTTTTTTTCTCAGCTGGCAGCAAGTGTAAACTTTTGTGGGGGTTGTGACATTACCACCATGCTGGGAATTGATGGATGACAAACCTGATTCATTTACTTTGTGTCTTTCTTAAGAAATACATTAAGTCAGTGGTCCATTTGCTCCCATACTCCTTCCATCTCTAGCCATGTACCAGGCAAAATGAAGCCACCAGGGACTCCGAAAGCAAGTATTCCTTGTCTTGATTTGCTCACAGAGAGAGGCACTGAAGGAAGAGGATAATTGGAATCCATGAGGGATCTAATAACGTCATGTGTAGGAGGTAAACCTTGAAGGAGTCTCAGAAAAGGCTTTTGGAAAACCCAGAGTTAAAAGTCATGAAACAACTGATTCAATCCAAACTCAAGCCTGGCTGGAGTGGTTGGAACCAGTACTTCAGAGATCTCAGAAGCCCTGAATCGTCAAGTCAACTCTGTTAGTGTCACCTTCCAGAGCTGTCCAGCCAGGAACCCAGACCGGAGTTGTTTTCAGGGCCTGTGCACTTCCAACATGTATGACTCAGAGTCAGACAAACACGAGAAAGACTTCTGTATAATGGGATGACTGAAACTCACAGTTCAGTTGGGCTCGAGTTGTAGACATCCGTTGGCACTCCTAAGGGAAATGTTAGCCCTTAGTGATGCAGGGACAACTTGTACACTCATGTTCCTTCTCAGGGGACACAGTGGAACAACTAGGATGCACATAAAGGTCATTATCACAAGGGCATGGTTATTTCTCTCATGTTTCTTCTTTCTTTCTTTCTTTTTTCTCTCCCCTAGTGAAATCTCTCAGAGTGATTCCCTGGAAAGGATAGAAGCTAATGCCTTTGAAAACCTCCCCAATTTGTCTGAAATGTAAGCATCAGCTAACAGATAGTTTATTGCTGTACACTATTACCCTGGCTGGTGGGAGCCCACTTGGTATTTGTGCTCATGCATCCAATGCGAGGAATCCACGAGGAAAAGACTGCAACAATTACTAGGTCTGGGCAGGCACTAATCTCTCTCGCTGCAGTGGCCTGAAGGTTGCCATGGCAACAACTGCTTCCCCCTAGGAACTGTGTAAACTCTGAAACATCACAACACAATGTTGGAAATTAAAATTGGCATTGTGAAGTCCTGCCAAGTAGCTCTTGCCTCATGGGGGTTGAGGCTGGGGTATGGGACACTTGGAGTAGGTGGGAAGTCAGAGAGGCGCTTAGGGATCATGAGTTGGTTCATGAGGGGCTGTTGAGACGCATTCATTCTTTCAAGTTTAAGTGCTTCCTTAATAACAACATGGCAAGCCTTGTGTTAAGCCTGTGAATGTTAAAGTCATCGGGCTGTATTGGTGTTGTTATTGCTAGATTTATCCTTAAAAAATTAAGTGTTTATGTAAAGGATAACCGTGCTACAATCCATAGCCCCGGAGAGGCTAGGTAGCAAGGAGGACCCAAGCGGGGACACATGGATCCACCCTGGGAAGGGGAAACAGAAGAGAGCTCCTGGGCGAACTGCAAATGGGAGGGACTTGAAGTACCGGGTTGGGGAGTGGGTGGAAGGGGAAAGAACTGAAAGAGATGACTAGAAAGGGGGGCAGGCACACTTTAGGGGGTCAAGTAGAAACCTGATGCAAGGGAAACTCTCAGGAATCTACAAGGATGACCCCAGCTAAGACTCCTAGCGACAGTGGAGACAGGGGCTATGTAGCCTGAACAGGTCATCTCCTGTGATGAGAGTGGTGACTACCCCAGTGACCATTAGAGAGCCTTCATCCAGTAACTGATGGAAACAGATGCAGAGACCCATAGTCAAACATTCAGCCAAGCCTGGTGAATCCTGCTAAAGAGAGGGAGGAAGGATTATAGGAGCCAGAGGGGTCAAGGACATCACAAGAAAACCCACAGAAACAACTAACCTGGCTCATAGGAACTCAGAGAGTCTACACCAACAACCAGGGAGCCTACAGGGGACTGACCTAGGCCTTCCACATATGCAACAGTTGTGTAGCTTGGTCTACTTGCCAGACTCCTAGCAATGGGAGCAGACACTTTCCCTAGAGTTTGGCTGGCTCTTGAGAACCTACTCCTCATACTAGATTGCCTTGCCCAGCCTTAATACACGGGGAGGGGATTAGTCTTCCTGCAATGTGATATGCCATGTTTTGTTAATATCCACGGCAGGCCTGCCCTTTTCTGAACAGAAACAGAGAAGTGGACTGAAGGGAAAGGCAAAGAATAGATAGGAGAAGGGAACAGGAGAAGGGGAGGGAGGGGAAACTACAGTCAGAATTGAAAATAAATTAAATGTTTTCAAAAAGTACTTGCTTCCCAATGACCATAAGACCCAAGTCAAATGGATGGGATATGAGTGACTCAGCTTCTGAGTGAGGAGCCTATGGCCAGGCCGCAAAGCATTAACTCACTGGCCTGACATCCAACAGCAGGTTAGTACCAAACTGAACTAGGCACCAGGACACCTGACTTACAAACCAGGCTTTTTTTTCCCTTTCATTTCTAGAAAAGGTTGTTTTTAATTTATTCTTTTGTACTTTCATACATACGTGTATATCCATCTCCATTAGCCTCTCTTAACTTGGAAGACCTTCCTCTTCCCAGCAGGTCAAACCAGACTTTTTGTGTCACCACTGGGGGCTCCCTCCTGGGCTTCTTGCAGCACCCTCCAATGCCCCTGCAAACAGGTCGAAAGGAAGGGGTGTACTTTAAGCACTTGTGAGTTCCTATGCTTGACATTTCCTCTAGGTTGTATCATTGCTCTTATAGCTACCAGCATAGTCAGATGATTGCCATTCTGTTCAGAGAACCAACCGGAAGCTGGGAGAGTGTGTGGACTTTAGACACTAGCTGGTCTGGGACTGAACTCCAACCCATCTTTCTTCAAGGCTCATGTATTTTTCATTATAGCAGAAGGTCTTCATCAGTGGTCCAGTGAGTAACTATCTATGTAGATTAATTGATAAGTGTATGAGTACCTGCTGCTGTGTGCCTGTCTTGGTCCAGGAGCTTCTGGGACACAGAGGAGCTGAAATACAGTTATCTACTAGGACATGATAGTTCCAGCCAGAGAAGTGAGAGTAATTTGCCCAACAATTACAGGAAAAGACAAACAATAGGTGTTTAAATTCCAAAGTTATAATCTGGACTTCTTTGTAGATGACTGTGCAGTCCCAGACCTAAAACTCTGCAGCAGTCACAGGCTTCAGGGAATGCTGAGGCACCGTCAGGACAGCAAGTGATACACAAAGCAAGACATCAACTGAAAGAAAAGTAAACCACTCTGCAGGGGATGTCTGCGGATTCCTAAAGAAGGGCCTGAGACCCACATGCTCTGTGCTCTGCCCACGGTGGTACCTTGCGTAGCTAGAGCAGCACTGGATCACACAGACACTCAAAGATGTCAATAGAACGAGTGACTGTGTGAGTAGATATTCTATGGTTAGACCTCAAAGAATCTTTATGAGGAAACAGTCCCGACCTCTCCCATGTCTGACAGATGGTTGTTTGATTCAGTGTTAGAATAGCTACCGCAGAATACCGCTCACAACTACAGAATCCGAACCTTATACCCATGTTCCAAGTAGCAATAGTTACAGTATAATAGAATGGGCATCAGCATGGGAATCAGAAAACTAGATCCCATTCAAGTCCAGTTACTCTTCAAATATAAATCATTCAGCTTTCACCATCAACACTGGCAGAGACTTTAGCATAAACCAGACGGTCATGTTTACTTCCCAGAACCCATGCAACATGGAAAAGAAAACAGAAAGGGGGCACTAACTGGGACAAAGAACCAGACGGGGGAAGGGATAAGAACAATGGGGGAGGGTATTATCATTATTATTTATATAAAGAACTCCAGCTCAGGAAACTAGGAGGATGGGAATCCTACATAGCAAATTCCTATAGAATGGGCAGAAGAGTCTAGAAATCTGAATCTCAAGGCTTCTGTCCTGTGCTATTCTGAATGAATGCCCATCTGGATAAATTTTCAGGGCACTTACCAACTCAATAAGAACAGAAACTAGTTTGCCTCCAAGGGGCCATGTTTATTTGTTCCTTCTCCTGAGAGCAGCACCTCCCATCGCTCCCAGTGTGCAGGTTCCAAGCTCTACTTGGCCAGGACCTCGAACACTCTGGACCTTGGTGTTATCTGGTAGGAAGGGGCAGAAGAAGAGATACACACAGATAAACACCCAGCTAAGCTGCTACACCTGCCTCTTCGGTAGGGTGGGCAAAGTTCCTTGGGAATAGCTGGCGGGGCCCTCAGGACACCCCAGAGTTCCAGGAGCTTGTCTTAGTCGTATAACAGTAGTTGATCTCATCGGTGGGACTTTACTCAGGAAGGCCTGGGGACCAGTGCCATGCATTCCACCATCTATTAAACCACTGCCCATTCCCCTTCTCTCTCTACAGACTGATCCAGAACACCAAAAACCTCGTAGACATTGAACCCGGTGCTTTTACAAATCTCCCTCGGTTAAAATACCTGTGAGAAATTTTCCTTTCTAAGCCTTTGTAGAGGGGAAGATGGGTATCTGGTAAAACTGAAAGTAATCAAAATGCTGAAGGTTTTTTATTTTGTTTCATTTTTTCAAGTGTGTGTGTGCGTGTGTATGGGTCTGAGTGGGGGTTTGCACATGAGTGAAATGTCCACAGAGGCTGGAAGAGGACATTGAATCCCCTGGAGCCTGAGTTACAGGAGATTATGCACTGCCTGACTTGGGTGCTGGGAACTGAACTCTGGTCCTCTGGGAAAGCAGCAAGCACTCTTAACCACTGAGCCATCTCTGCAGTCTCTTGACGAAGCATTGTGTTTGTATGTCCCTCCTTGTTAGCCTTCCATTTTAAGTTTAATCAGTATGTCTTGTCTGTTACTATGCTGGGAGTTTTCACACATGTAAGTGGCTCCCCATGTTCCCTGTGCCCAACACACTGAGGAGAACATCACCCCTTTGCTGGTGTGCTCAAAGCTGGACAGGGGAATGGGGACTCACAACATTTTGTAGAGCACAAATCAGAGTTTCTAAGGTGAGTGACCGCAAATAAAACTGGGAGGAGTTGCTCCAGTTTGGTTTCTCCCGATTCATAGTGAGAATTTCCTCTCTCGTTTCCTCAATTGTTCATTCAGTCATCAAGGGAAAACTGGCTAAGTATTTCCTGAGGCAGGCACTGTACCACATCAGTTCAACCATTTCTACTTCCCACTAAATCCAAGCACGTCTGCGGGTTAGCATGACAAACTGAGTCCCACTATAGCCCAAACAGCACTGGCCCTACCAGCAATGTGAAATTCCTAAAACTTCCCAAAATCTACAACTACATGGCAATGAATCTCTCCACACAGCACATCATCCCTACCACACAGAAACGTTACCACCACCACTCAAATAAAAAGAAAAAAAGAGAGCAGAGGATACAGGAAGGGACCTCTCTGCCCCACACCATTAGCCTTGTTCCCGAGTGCTGTGCACAAGCTGTAACCGGCCGAGTATAGTCCCTTTGTCCCCGTGGATTACTGGAAACCCAAGCGCTGTGTGTTTCCCAACCTCCAGAGTAGCTTGGGCACATAAGTGTCAAGCACTTTAGAAGGCCTTAAGGATATCGAGACCCAACTATGGCCAGCATAACCTCTGATTAGCCCATTGTCTTTATTAGGTTTTCATACCAAAATGTGGAGTTCCCCAATCCAAGTCTACATTGCAGTCTGAGCCTCCTACTAACCTCAGTGCAGACAAGGAATGGGTTCACTGTGAACACTTTTATCCCATTTGTACATCCATTCAAAAGCATTAACAGTTACACGGAGACGGAGAGCGTAAAGAGGACCGGCTTGCTGTATTGCCAACCGAATGCCAGGCAGCCCCTGTCAGTGTCCAGAGCCCATGTCTGCTGAGTTCACAACTCCACTGGGGGAAGTCTAGTTCCTGCGTGCCTCTGAAGGAGCCTAATTTTTTTTTTACATGGGAACCTTTTAATAAATATGGAGTGAAAAAAAGATAAACATAATACGCATGCAGTGTGGTACGCTATGCACTTCCAGGCTTCCGTGTAGGGTCTCGGGATACACCCAGTGCGTAATGGCCATTGCGCCACTGGTTTTCTTTAGCTGGCACTCACTCTCATGCACAGACTTGTTTCATGACACTATTCCTCCAGCTTGTGCCTCACAAGTGAGCCTTTTGTTCTACTCACTTTGTCTAGGTTCATCCAAGAGGAGCTTAATTTTTATAATAAAATATTCATCCGTTTCAAGTAAGCCCCTCTCTTTTTTAGAGGTTAAATAGAAGGCAGGAGCCTTAACTGTCTCAAACACAAAAGCAACGTTCAGTGGTTTCAAGGAAGAACCTCCTGAACCACAAAGTAGCTAAAAACAGTTTCTAATAATGAAAGGTACAGGCTTCTCATAAGATGAATCTCCCTGCACCAGGCAGTGGTGGCGCACGCCTTTTATCCCAGCACTCAGGAGGCAGAGGCAGGCGGACCTCTGAGTTCAAGACCAGCCTGGTCTCAGAGTGAGTTCCAGGACAGTCAGGGCTACACAGAGGAACCCTGTCTTGAAAAACAAAACAAAAAATTTAACTTCCTGCAAAGTTTGAGTTTAAAGCAAGGTTTAAAACCCCACTCCAAAGAAGGCTCCTTTCTGAAACTACCAACAGCACTGACTAAAGCAGTTATCAGGAGGAAACAGGATGTAATCCACCAGGAAAATGCCATGACTTTAAAGAAAACACAAAGGCAAAACACCTGCAAGTTTAGTATCAGCCCTTAAACCTCAAAACAGGAACCATTATGGCAACTTCACCTGGCAATGAAACCTTTGAAATTCTGACCATCTTCGTCAGCTAACGTGTAACCCAATATTCTAAGATTGAACATGAAAATAGTGCTTGCAAAGTGCTTTCTGTTTATGACCTAACGCTATCACTTGTCCTCTCCGCCCACGTCACCACCGTGCCCGATCACAGGAGCATCTGTAACACGGGCATCCGAACCCTCCCGGATTTTACAAAGATCTCCTCCTCCGAATTTAATTTCATTCTGTAAGTATCAGGCTGATTGCTTTGCACAACCGTTTCCCATTCACAGCTGAGATTTGTAGAGTAAATATTTGTCATTTCTTTCCTCAAGGGAGATCTGCGATAACTTACACATAACCACCATACCGGGAAACGCTTTCCAAGGGATGAGTAATGAGTCCATCACACTGTGAGTAACGTTCTGGACTCCTACTCTGCCGCACGGCCTGCTCTGTGATTCTCGCGTCTAGTTTGAGGTTAGCGATGGGCTCTGTTTCTCCACGTTCTTCACTCCCTGGTGACAAGGTTTTTCTTAGCCGAGACTGTTTTCTCAACAGTGGCATGGGTTGTATAGGGGAGCCGCAGGGTCATGTGCTCATACAACAACGAAACCAGGAGTTCAGTTTATCTTTGAGCAGATGGGTCCTGAGGATTGGTGGTATTGATTTCCAGTTGGTGAAGTCCTTCCCTGCACAAGGGGCAATTCTTTGAGGCTCGGCCTTTATTCCAAATTCAAAATATAAAACTGCCAGTGATTTTGACCTAAACTGAAGCAGGAACCAAGAGTTACTCCTCACAGGTATATGCTTATGATGGGAATAGCGCCAAACAGGAGCAAAAAGTAGAGCCCTTCAGCACATGCTGGGACAATCCCTGGGGAACTGAGTTCCCACCGAGCTTTTCCCATGCAGCATGATTCTGCATGAATGCAAAAGAGCTGCATGGTATTGGTGTCACGGAGCTATTAACTCAGGTTGCTTGTGATTTGAAGATGAACAGTGTACAGCAGTAGGGTGTGATTGTCACACCTCTGAGGTTAATGGGGACCTCGGGACTTACTCCTCCCCCAGCGCCTGTGGTGGACGTTGTGCTCCACCCCCTTCCCTTTCTTGACCCTTCATCCCCAAGGGCTGTGATTAGTCATCTGCTTGGCTCTTGTTCTCCACTGAAAGGGCCCTTGTGTGAGCGAAGAGTCCTGTGGAGAACCCTGCCGGGTAAAGGCTATCATGCTTGCTGAGGAAAGTCTCATTTTCCCAGCTGTAAAGTCTAACTCCTTAATTAGAAAATAAAGAAAGCAAGCCTTCTCTTTTCATTATTAGCAGGATTTGTGATTTTGTTCTTTGGTGGAACTGGTCTGGCCCTTCCCCTACCCCAAATCTTTACCAACTGTGAGCTCATTTGATGAAAACAAAACACTCCATGTAGCACAGGAAAAGCTCTGGGAGGCAAAGTCTAAAACTATGCGTTGTATTTGGAGGTTCCTTTATAGCCACTGTGGCCTTTCATGACTCTCCTCTAGAGGCCACCTTGACATATTCCACCCACCTCACCCGCACTCAGCTGGACCCAGTGCAGAATATTCTGGATGGTGATGGGCCCAGCCAATCTCACAAAACAAACAGCAGTGATTTCCACTTGAACTCCACAAGTTAGGGGAAAGTTATGGCAGTTCCTTTCCCGAAGACCCTTCAGAGCAGAAGGATCTTGCAAAGGGAGCCAGGATATTTTGGCTGCACCTTTGACAAGCCACAATACAAAGGCAAGTGGAGGTGGAGCCTTAATGTTAGCTCCAGCTCCAAGTGTAGGCAGCTAAGCAGCCTCAGTCTGTTTGGGCCTGGGAAGCCAGGCTGATCTCTATTCAGTGGGATTATTAATGCCTCCTTGCGCAGATCCAATCACACTGTGTCCACTATACAGTCACCGCAAGTGCCACAATTAACCAGAGTTAGCAGCTAAAAACTAACAACCCAGAGCAAGTCGGTCATTAGTGGCCATGTCCAATAGCCCACTGTGTTTTAAAGGTTTGGATTTTGTTGATGTTGTTCTAGTTTCGTCCTCTGTTGCTGTGATAAAATGTTCTGACCAAAAGCTATTTGGAGGGATAAGGGTTTACTTTATCTTACACTTCCAGGACTCGGTCCATTATTAAGGGAGTCAGAGCAGGGACCTAGAACAGGAACCATGGAGGAGTACTGCTTGCCAGCTTCTTCTCCAGCTCATTCCCAGGCCTATGCTCCACTGGTTTCACACATAGCCCAGTCCAACCCGTCTAGGGATGGTCCTGCCCAAGGGGGCTTAGTCTGTTATCAGTTAAGACCACAAACATGCCCACAGACCCATCTCATCTAGGCAATTCCTCGGTTGAGCTTTTCCCTTCCCAGGTTCTGTCCTTTGCTTTCTATTGCTGTGATAAACACCATGACCTTAAGTAACTTGGGAAGGAAGGAGCTCATTTGGCTTGCACATCGCAATCACAGTCGATGTACGAGGGAAGTTGAGGCAAGAACTGAAGCAGGAGCAGAGGCAGGAAGCAGGTAGGCACAGCTTAGAATCTAGTTTCTGTCCTCACCTGTTATGCCTCCTCTGCTCCCTGAGCTGTTCCTGGGCTGTCTTCTCTTCTGTTAGGTTCTGGATCTTTCAAGGAAATCGGGTCCGACTGCGTTGCTATGACCAAATCCAGCCCAAACATTGCCACGGCAGCACCGCAGAGGCCGTGCTGCGTCTCCTTGCCGCATCAAACCAGGAAGCATTTCATGTCACACACTGCCTTACCGCTTGGCCACTAGCTTAAGGTGTGATCTACCAAATATACTTGCCCTTTGTTCCTTCCAAGTCACCTGTGCTGGGACTCTGAGTTGGGACACGCCATTGGCCAAACCTTTCAGTAACTGCCGCTTCTTTAGAATTACAAAGAGAATTACCCGAAAATTATTGGTACATTCCAGCACTCTTCTGCGTTTATACCCCACATTTCTACCATTCGCTGTTATTTCTCCTGCATGCTCTCTAGTGCTCTCTGTCTGCCCGTTTTTAAGTATTACTTGGAATGTGGATTTCTCAAAACTGCAGCTGCCGCATTAGAATCCATTACTGTCATCTTACTTTCTGAAACCGTCCGTCCTCTTTAATGCAGCATATGGTGAAGTCATGGAAGCTGACATGTGCTTGACTGAGGTAGTGGGGAGCATGAAAACAGTTCCGTGCAGTTGAAAGGCAGGAGGCTCAGGCAGCTCAGAGACCAGGAGAGTCACAGAAATGGAGGACCCTGAACATTCAGCCCAGGTTCATTGCAGCACATACGTGTCAGAGAGCAGCAGCCATCACACAGCCCTGGCAGGAAACACACTGGGATACGGGCTTTGTCCATGACTTACTTCAATGATAAAAAAGAAACAAAACAAACAAAAAACCCTCTAGTTACATAGGGGACAAAGCGTGAATGTGGAGGTCCCTCTTCTTTAAGATGTGCTTCCCGTAGTCGTTGGTTTAATAGGAAGAAAAGTAGCAGGGAGGGAAGGAAGGAGGGAGGGAAGAAAAAGAAAAAAGTTACTTACATGCATCCCACCAGCAGGCAGAGTCCTCAACTGCCATGCATTGTCTTTCCACAGTGGGGCTATTCTTTGAGGTCCTCGGGATCTGCAAACATAATCTCTCTCCTTTGAAATCAACCAAAAGCTAGGTGGCCACATGATCAAGAGAATGTCTAGCATTGTTAATATGAACCCACAAGCACTGTGTGCCACCCTGGGATTATTCAAAGGGGAAGGCAGCATTCAGAAGTACGGTATCGTCTGTGATTAATTTCTAACTCCCGAATCTTTCTTAGATTAAAAGATGCCATTCTTTCTGTTTGATTCACAATTACTGATATCTGAATAGAGAACCCAGACAATGCCTGCCAGGGTGGGGCTGCTACTGCCACAGAGAAGCAAGGGGGACCTCCGTCTCGTCTCTGCACCAAAGAAGCCCCCCTTTGTTCTGACACCATGAGATCTGGGGAAAGCAAGTGACTCTGCAGATGTTTTCAAAGGCGTTGAAGGCGGTGTGCGAGCCCGACAGCACGAGGTCCTCCCACTCACATTCTCAAATTCTCCAAACCAAGGCAGCTGCTCTTTAACTAAGTCAAGCCTGCATCCTCCGTTGTGCGCTGCTGGTGGGAACAGAGAGGGGTTGCCGCTGAAAGGGAAGCAGGGAGCCACAGTCCAGGAAACTGCAACAAGCAAACCCAGACTATTCAAAACTAAGAACAAGACATGAAAAAGTTCATAGCAGTAACCCAGACAGAGGGAGTATGGGGGACAGCCTAGGCTAGTGACTCCAGCTTGCTCTGCAGAAGCAGAAAGGAGGGAAGTAGCAATGTATGCAAACATGGACCTACAGCTCAGAGAAATCCTGTCCAAATCTCGTACCGGGAGACCTCTTTGCTCCAATCAGCAATCAGAGGGTTCGAAGCCACAGGTTTGGTTGTGTTCCAGAACCTACTTCTAAGCGACTGACACATGTTTAGATACAACAGTTTTGCAGGGTTGATGCTACTGTTATCATCCCAATTTTTGGATGAAGAAATTGAGGAGTGAGGTGTTAAGTAAGTTACTCAAAGTAATTCAGCTTGTAAGAAGCAGAGCACAAATGGAGCCCAGGCAGTTGGGTCCAATACCTACAGACCTAACCATAAAGCCACATGTATAGCACTGACCTTGTGAGCCCAGCAGAAGTGACAAGATCCTAACACATATCAAAATTGAAATTGCAGGATAGCTCAGCAGTTAAGGCTGCTCTTCCAGAAGATCAGGGTTCATTCCCCAGCACTCTCAAGGTGGCTCACAATTCTGTAACTCCCGTTCCAGGGGATCTGATCCCATCTTCTGGACTCTGTGGGCACCAGGCATACAACATGGTGCTCAGACATACATGCAGACAAAATAACCATATGCACAAAATAGTAGTATAAAAAATTTTAAGCTAAGATAAAGGTAGCAAACCACAGCAAAGGGGAAGAGGCTTCTAGGCAACTACAAGTAGCTTTGCTTTACTAAAATCCCAGAAAGGAATGCTTTGTCTTGACCCATCAGAGACACAACTCTATCACTCTGAGTAGGGGAAATGGTAGCCTGTGGACTCAGTGCTGAGCAAAAGCCTGCAGGATTGGCACCGTGGAAAAGACCCATCATACTGTGATCTACCCTAGGGCAGGGTTTCCCAGTCTGGAGCAGTGGAACTGGGCTGCACATGCAGGGAGACCGAGTCTCCATGTAAACAGTGGCATATGCTTCGACAAATACTGGTCTTGATTCTGAAAACCTAGATTTCAGAGTTACTCAGAGGAAACAGAGGTATGTGACCCTTTCATTGAACAGAGTTATCTATAAAAGAACCCCCTCCATAACAAGAGATGGACAAAGAACAATATTCTAAGTCTTACACCCTTTTAAAGGTCCTGTGAGATTCAGCTACCAAGAAGGCGAGAAAGCCGTATGTAATTACCCAAAATGACAGGTCTGAAAGAACTTATCCCCTCATATTTTACACTAGAAAATGGTAGGAAAAACTATTGGAAAATGGCATCCAGCAATCTAATATAGGTCACAGGAGCTCCTGTGTGCATCCGTATGCAGAAGAGAAACCCAGAAGTTAGGGAGGGCTTTTTTTTTTTTTTAACCATGGATGCCAAAGTTGGTGGCATCTGTTAGGACCTTGGAGCAGTCAAGGCTCCAAGTTTGGTGGGTGGGGGCTAACTACTGTATACGTATTGTACAGGCTATGGGACATGATGCAATGTTTCAATAATGCACACAACATATACCAACCAGACCAAGATGATGGGCATTTTTATTTCTTCATTGTTTCTCTGTGTTTGGAGCCTCTGCGCTCCTTCTTCCTGGTTCTTCATGAAACATGTAACAGGGATTTTGATAGAATGATCCTCTGATCTCTCTGAACTCAATCTAATGAGGGGGCCACAGGGTTATTTTGTAATCACTACATTTCCTGAATTTCATAGTTGAAATATCGTACTTCAGCATGAATGGCACCTGTGTTTATCTGATGTGTTATCAAAGGTTTGCTGTGGTTGGTGGAAAGCAATGACACATCCACACACTACATATATGAACATACAGCAGGAGGTGGCCGTCCATGTTGGCCTGAATTTGCAAGCCTAGAGGAACCTTAAAGATATCAGCTCTCTGTGGCGGAAGCAGGTGTCTGTACTTTTCCAAGTCATCCGCTCATACATCCGCCAACACTAGAAAGGAAGCCAAAGTCTTGCAGACAGGACAAGCTCAATCACATCACACCATGGTCCCTTCTCACTCAGGTGTCATTTCATGGCCTACAAAGAGCTTATACCGATATTGACATGTAGGATGGAGGCTCTCAAATGTGTCAGTTGTGACTCAGAGCAAGACATCCTCCATAGACCCATTCAAAGGTTCATCACACTTCCTGTGATGCTCTGAATCCCAACAATTGCTCAGGATACAGGAGAGTCTACAGTGAATGCCATGGTTTGAAATCCTTGTTGTCATGGCATTACGCGCTGCAAACGAGTAAAGCATTTTGTGTTACATGGTGATAAAACTAGAAAAGAAATACATATCAGGGTGGAATAGAAATTGGCTGGGAATGAGGAGTTGGAATTGTAAACAGGAAGACCACATTGAGGCTTTTGTGGCATTGAACCCAGGTGTTAGGAGAAAAGCAAGTAAGTCTTAAGGATATGGGAACTGGGGGGGGGGGGACAACAAAACTGATGTACTGAAAGTAGCCTCAAGCAGAGTGTGCTCTGGTGCTGTCCTTGTCACCTGCCATCTGAGCCCATTTCCTTCCTTGTAAGGGAGCCTTTTTAGACTCCTTTCTGTTTCTGGCACTTCCTAGCATGGCTGGAAACTAGAGCCTCTTATTTCTCAATCTGGGCGTGTGTGTGTGTGTGTGTGTGTGTGTGTGTGTGTGTGTGTGTGTGCATCCATGCATGCGTGTTGCGCAGATGGGGTGGTTGTTTTATAGATACCATATATAATGGTGGAACAGAATTTGGTAAGCATTCTTACCCTAACTGCTGGCAATATACTCCAACATTTTCCCTTGCTCTACTCCGTTTCCCTCTTTTTAATGCTGGTTGCACTCAACTACATTGCTTTCACTACCCATCAATGGGGCTTAAAGAACTGCTTGCAGACATTTAGATCTTTGAGGGTTATGGAACTAGTTTGGGAAAAAAAAAAAACACAAGAGCACACACACAAAGAAATAAAGAGCAGGTGACTCAGTACTGGAGATTTGCTTGGCAGCCCACAAAGTCCACAACACCCAGGGAACCAAAGAGGCTTTCTGAGCCAGCCTGGTATCTGAGCCTTGAATCCCAGCTCTGTCCCTGCTCCCAGTAACTACAAGCCCAATCGCACCGATGTTTTTCTTATCACTGTAATGGAAGCAAGAGTCACGAGAAGTAAATCAGAAGATGGGCATGCCAGGGCTAGTCAAGTACCAGCACCTAGCAAATGTATGATAAATTGGTGGCAGTGATGGAGGAAGTAGAAGAAAACCTGAGCAGAGAAAACAGCTTTGCCGCATGTGCCTCCAGAGCCCGGAATGTTGGAGAGACAGCTAGCTGTTCTGAATGCCAGTGGTTATCTTTGCAGTAAATGTCACAGAGGGAGAGCGTCTGCTTCCAAACTGTGCTCTGTCAGCTACTTCCCATCCCTAAGCCCTCTCTCCTCCCTCCTCCAGCAAACTGTATGGAAATGGATTTGAAGAAGTACAAAGCCACGCATTCAATGGGACGACGCTAATCTCGCTGTAAGTATATGCTTATTTCCCTAGCTCATGAATAAAAATGAAGTATTACTCTGGCTACCAGATCACATTCAATCTTCAGCAACTAACTCAGGGCAAAAATAAACTTTCAAGTGGCTAGTCCTCCGAGTTGCAGGAGTGTTACTAGGCAACCGGCTAGCTGGAAACCCCAGAGCACCCTGATTTCAAAGACAGAAGCAGCCGCCATGCATTGAAGTTGACAGCTGGCTGAAGCGTTCCACACCCTACTTTGTGCCTCCTCCATCTCGCAGCTCCCCTCTCTAGCCCCCTTGTATAGGCTGATGGTGTGTTAGAAGAAACCTATCTTCTCAGAAGGAGACTCTTCCAGGGCCCCCACTGCGGGGGGGAAATGAGGTGACATCATCTGTCAGCCTAGTTACCCACAGTGGCTTCACTTGCCTGCCTCCCTCCTGCTCTCCAGGGGAGAGGGAGCTCTGGTTCCTCCCCACTTTGATCCAGCCCCTTTGACTGGGGACTCATCCTAAGGATGGCTCCCTTCATTGCTCTCCACCTCCCCTCTGCATGGCCATCCTCAGGAAAAGTGGTAAATTGACATGTTTATGGGAATGTGTGGTCTCTCACAACAAACAGTGAGGCTCTGCCCACTCAGCAGTCGTGAATAGCAAACCACAAGAGCACCTGAAATGCTACACTGAAGATAAATGAAATCAGAGAACCAGACTTTTAAAATAAATGATGAGTTAGTAGAGCCAGTGAGGTGAAGAGTGTAAAGAGGCTGGCCCTCAAGCCTGACTACCTGGTGGAGGGAGAGAGAGAACTGACTCCCAAAAGCTGACCTCTGATCTCCACACACACACTAGGGCATGGGCATATTTTCTCCCACACATAGATAGATGATAGATAAGTAGGTAGGAAGATAGATAGATAGATAGATAGATAGATAGATAGATAGATAGATAGATACATACATACATACATACATACATACATACACACAGATACAAATATACAAACATACATACATGATAGAATGATAGAAATATACATACACAGATATAGATAGATACACACATACACAGATACATTGAAATACAAATAAATGAATCAATAAATGTAGCAAAAAACTTTAATAAAATTGTTTGAAGCATGAACCGCACCAATAATTCACAAACATTAAGGCATGTAAGAATCACCTTGGGGTTGTTAGGGCAGACACCTGGAGCCCCACCTGAACGGGCTTTATGGGAGAACCTCAAAAGCACTGAGAATTTGCACTTTTAACAGTTCCCCAAAACCCTGATGTGTCTGGGGCTAAGAAGCTCGGGTGTATATACCGAAAGGTATGTTTCTCAAACAGAAAGACAGTGTGGTATGCCTGCCCCCAGTGCAAGCAAGTCCTCGAGGACCTCAGAGGCGGGGGAAGGTGTTACAGAGCATGGGCAGTGTGGGGTGCGGGCTCTGAGCCAGGCTCACGTGAACAGGCAAAAGCAGGAGGACAATGTGTCCCAGGCAGAAGCCAGCAAGATGAATGGTATACAGCCAAGCTGAGTTCAGACCAGCAAACGTCAGAACTCTTGGAATGTGAGGTCAAAGCAAGAAGGTTCCTCTGTTAGCAGAAAGGACCAAGGCTGGAGGAGCAGTATGGGCTCAGGTAGAGATACTGGGATTTTCCCAAGCGAAATGGGGCTGGAAGTCCTTTGTGACTTTGGTCACCTAGACATGGGCTGTGATGACTCCTGGCACACACCCACTGAGAACGTACATCTCAATGGAACCAGAGGACATTAGGAAAAGAAATCTTGGAAGCAGCTTTACTCTTGTTTGGTGTGTAGCTTTTGACAAATTCTGAGGCCGCCAAGGCCACAGCAATTCAGAGAATGATAAGGCACAGGCCGCACTTTAACCCAGTAGCCTTGGACTTGCTGAGGAGGAGCATTTTAAAATCTTCCCCAGCTGCCTGGCAGGAAGTTCTTACAAATCCAACAAGAGGGGCTGAGTCCATTAAGTCACAGGACAAAGGATTCCACCAAGTGAGAGCAAAGGACAAACAATAGGCGAAGCCGGACACATGCAGTAGCAATGACACAGTTTCACCAAGGCTTCTCGTCTTTCTTTCAGTTTGTCTACCCCTCCCTTTTCCCCCTCCGCCCCAGCACGGTGCACACAGCAAGTGTGAGCATGTGTATACATACACGGCTATGGAGGTGGGTGTGAAACTGTCTTTCCACGCAGGGAACTGAAAGAAAACATACATCTGGAGAAGATGCACAGCGGAGCCTTCCAGGGAGCCACAGGGCCCAGCATCCTGTGAGTACCCGGGTGCAGCCTCCTCTCCCACACAGTGCAGGCTAACAGCCCTGTCTAGTGGCCAGTCACATCGCCGCAGGCTAGCTTGCAGGCTGCCAGCGTCTGTAGCTGAAAGGGACCAGAGATGTCAGTGTTGTACTGACACGACAAATGTCCTGTGCCTGTGACAAAGCCCCACATTGATGGGGTACCAGCAGGCTTGCTGCCCCTGAGGGAAGATTGCTCTCAACCTTCTCATCTGCTTAGGGTCCCTCTGGATGGGCAGCACAAGCCCAGTCTCCGTGTGTTATTGCTATTGTTGCATGTGTTTGAGTGTCCATCTTCTCTATTAATTTCATTTCCCCCATTTTATTAGTACATAGACATGCTGGATTATGGTTTACCATCATGGCCTTCTTTGTCTTGGTAAAAAAAAAAAAAAAAAAAAAAAAAAAAAAGCCTGTGTCCATATAAGATATTCTGAGCTCCTAGCAGAAAAAGACTTCCACATGTAAATTCACATGAGGGCCCATAACTCAATCAGTAATGCCAAACAGGGTGTGGCCTCCTGTGCTAGTGGAGGGTGGCTCCCCGCCTGGAACCCACCAAGAGAATCCATTCTGACCCAGTCCACCCCCAGCCCTTGGCTAGCTATGGTTGAGATGCTACAGACTAGTCTTCCTACAATAGTTCAAGGACATGTTCTGTGTCCTTCAACCGTCCATGAACGGGAGTTCCCTGCAAGGGCTTGTTCAAAGAAAAGCTTCTCCAAGCAAAGCTGAGAGACCCTCAGGATTAAAAGCAGTTTCATAATGTGGCCATTTAGAAAAATCATAATTGTAGGTTCCATTCTAAGGCTGATGGCTTCCCCAGCCATGCAACCACCGTGTCTGAGAAGAGGCTGGACCTGACCACTTACTCTCCACATAAGACTCTACAGCAGGACAGAGCCTGATTTCCTAAACCAGCAAGGACGCAGAAGCCAGAGGGAGGCTTAGTGCCCTGGGGCAGAGTCTCCTGCCTCCCCCATTCCTCCAGGAACCTGTACCCTTGTACCTGTCCCACTCACGCCCACCTTTCCCACTATTGATCCCTCCTTGTGCTGGGCCCTGAGCCTCACATGGGGCAGACTGTGGAAGAGGATGTGTTCCTGGGAAAGGTTTGGGCATAAGCCACTTAGAATACGAGCAGGATTTTTAACACAAAAACTGCCACCAGCTCCCTATTCCTGAAATACTGCACATTTGGGGATTTTCTTAGATTTCTTTGCCTCGAGTCTAGTAAAGTCAAGCAGCTTTGTTTAAAGGCCCTTCTGCACAGCTGTGCTAGCTTGACATGGTGTTTGCTTGCTGCAGATGGACACATCCAACTGGTTACGAGAGCACATGTGCTCCACTTCCTGGGTAGATGATGGCTAACGCCACACATAGCTCTTAAGAGGGTAGTCCACCTGCAGTTGATGAAAACCTCCCCTGCAGGGCTTCATCAAGCCAAGATTGAGGCATCAAAGCTCTGATATTTCCCCCCAGGGCAGAACACAAACGTTGACATCACCTGTGTGTCTGCTATCTTAGAAAGCAAGCAGTTGGTTTTTATAAAATACAGAGAGGACAGGAGGGAGGTGGGGTGGAGGATAGGCAGAAGGAGGGCGGAATAGAGGGTAGACAGAAGGAGGGAGAGGTAGAGGGTGGGCAGAAGGAGGGAGAGGTAGAGGGTGGGCAGAAGGAGGGAGGGGTGGAAAGTAGAGCGAAGAAGGGAGGGGTGGAGGGTAGGCAGAAGGAGGGAGGGGTGGAGGGTAGGCAGAAGGAGGGAGGGGTGGAGGGTAGGCAGAAGGAGGGAGGGGTGGAGGGTAGGCAGAAGAAGGGAGGGGTGGAAGATAAACAGAAGGAAGGAGGGGGTGGGGAAGGGCATCAGAGATAGAGGGATCAGGAATGAGGAGAGAAAAACACTAGTGGCCATTCAGAAGGTACAAGGAGTCACCCCAACCTTGAATACAATAGGGGGTACCCACGAGAGGGAAATCTCAGAGCAGCTCTTTGGAAAGCAGATCATGGGGAGAGCAGCTGAAATGAAGAATTAAAGGAAAAACTAAATGGGGGACAGATTTCAGCCCCTCAAGGAGGACTGCTGAAGAAAATGTGTAAAATCAGTCAATAAAAGGCCTTTCTCCCCTTCGTGGTCAGGGATATTTCTTCCACCAAATTACAGGCCCTGCCAAGCGACGGGCTGGAATCCATTCAGACCCTCATCGCCATGTCCTCCTACTCCCTGAGAACTCTGCCCCCCAGAGAGAAGTTTACCAGCCTGCTGGTGGCCACTCTGACTTACCCCAGCCACTGCTGCGCTTTCAGGAATTGGCCAAAGAAAGAGTAAGTGAGAAGCAAAGGCACACAAGCCGCTGTGGAGAAACTGGGATCTGGACCTAGCCCGTGGTGCACAGTGCCCTGTCCTTTCCTGGCTACTTTCCTGGCCAACTCTGCAGTCATGGAGTTGCTTTCAGATAGACAAAAAAAAAAAAAAAAAAAAAAAATGAGCTTCTCCTCATCCTGAGGAACTGCCAAATAGCTGGAGCATCTCTCTAGCCATTGCAAAACCAGTGTCAAAAAAAAAAAAAAAAATCCACAAAACCAACCTGTTCTAATTCTTAGCAAACATGATTTACCCAATTCATCTTGGACTTGAAATTGTCAGAGTAACATGGTTTTGTTTGGGGTTTGGTTTTGTTTCTTAACTATTTGTCTCCCGAGGAAAACAGCGTCCATTTCTGAAGGGAAACCTAGCTCCTACAGATTGGCTAGGGAGCAGTCGGAAAGGGCAGGAACTGCGGGCTGCTCTGTGTCCAGCAGAGGGCGTCTGACTGCGGGCTGTTGGTGGGGATGGGGTGGGGGTGAGAGGGGTCGAGGGCCAGAATTTCATTTCTTACAACATCGTTTTTCCCAGAGTTCTCTAGCCAAGAGACACCATTCCGCATCACGACCCAGTAAGTGTCACATGTATAAATGGAAGAGAAAGCAAGGACTAACTTTCAAATGTGTGGTGTGGGCATGTGGCAGTTCCTGCTCCCTCACTCCTCTGTCCCAGGCTTGTCTGTTTTCACTGTAAGCCTTGTTGTTGTCTATTGTTTTCATAACCCTCTCCTGGGTCATAACTCCCCGAGGGAAAAAGCAGGGCTTCAAAGAGTCATTACTGCAGCCTGCAGAGAAGTGCCCAATCAATTAATTAGGTATGGCACTATAGCAGTGACACCAGGCTGCTACGGGCTTTGTTTGGAATTAACCTATTATAGCTGATCAACTAGCCTGTATTTTTTATGCCTGGAGTGAATAGATTCAGTTCTACCTAAAGATTTGAAGCAGCTGAGAAGATGGAAATACTTGTTGTGTTTAAAGATCTACACCATTTGGGGAGGGGTGTGTGGTGGTGAGGATCTCACTATGTAGTTCTAGCTGTCTTGGAATTCACTATATAGACCAGACGGGCCTTGAACTCACAAAGATCTGCTTGCCTACTCCTCCTGTGTGCTGGGATTAAAGGCATGAGCCACCGTGCAGGGCTCAAGCTCTACCCCCTTAACTGGGCTTCAAAGGACTTAAATTGAGCACTAGCCATGTTCCAGTGTATCAGATTTGGAGATAAAAAGATAAGACATCATTTCAGCCCTCACAGATGGCAGGCAGCATCAAGGAGCGAGAACACCTTTGTCAGAGAATGTCAGGACAGAACAGAGAATGGGGCAAAATGTTCCGGGGCCGAGGAGTAGTGTCTAGGGCTCGTGGGAGACTTCCTAAGAAAGATGACTTCTGCAGAGAAACCTTGGGGAAAGCATGCCAAGATGAGGTGACTCGCGCGAGGTGTGGGGCAGGAGACACCAGAAGATGAATGCTATTCAAGATCAAGCACAGCAAGATGTAGGTACATGGAGGAAGATGAGTCAGGAGAAGCACCCCAGGGAGTGATGTGGGCTTTCAGTATCAGCCCTAGGTAGCAGGAGGTTGAGATGCTTCTAAGTGAGAATATGCAAATCTGCTTTCATGAAATCTCAGTAGGGCAGCAGGATGAAGCAGGCTGAGGTGGCAAAGCTGACAAAGAGAGTCACTAGACAGGGATGCTGTTGGGATAAGGCTGGTTCTGGTCACCTACTTACACTTCTGTGGCAAAGAGGTCACACTCCTCAAATTACTGATATGTGAATACTCAGTTCAAGACCTTTTGCTCCCGAAAACGTAAAAGCCTACCTCTAGGTAGGAAGGGGTAATGGAATTAGGACTCTCTGAGCTTGGTGTGAATGTCATCGCTCACAGGCTGGCCTAGAGGAGCTCGGGAACTTCCACTAACTCACAGGTACTTCTGTGACTATAAAGCCCTAAGCCTCAGAGGCCAGTGAAACTGGAGAGCTGAACTTGGCTCTGTGGGAGTTTGGTGCAAACTGAGGCTTCCCACAGACAATGCACTGGGCTGCCTGGGCAGAACTCTCTATGCAATCTTGGCTAACTGTGAAGATAGAACAGTTAGCATGCGGTATTATCATTTGAAGACCAAGTTCCTGTTGACTGTGGACTTGTCTGAATACCTAATACAGTATCTCTGTAAAATACCAAGCCAGAACAACTCCCACTACACACTTACATGGGTCTAGAAGGACTCAGTCCAAGTTTATAAATGTATATTAATACCTAGATGACAAAATGGTTCATTTTTGAGAGGCCATTGGGTCAAATCATTCTGACACGATGCCCCATTTTTCTACATTTGTACAAAATCATTCCTTGTTTTCTCGATGCTGAATAATAACAGCCCAGAGAAATGTCCACGTTGGGCCACCTCACCTCTCCACCCTCCTCAAGGAAGACTGGAGCCGCTCACAGTAGCTCCCATTCCTCCTTTGTGAACCTCCCTTAGGCTCTGTCCCTATGCACCAGCTTTCTTCTGTCCCCTTTTCCTAAGCAAGACTTCCCAGAGGGAAGACAGAAGAGAAGAGAACATCAAAACAAGTCTTGTACAAAAGCTGAAGACCTAAGATACACACCCAGCCCCACAGAATCCTCACAGAAAGACTTCCAGTCACACTTCAAAGTCATGAATGCCAACTAGTTAATCAAGGTCAACGGGAAGGAGAAGAATTGACGAGGAGCAAACTTGAATATGCCACAAAAGGGAGCTTTTAATAAGTACTGAAAACCCCATGATCAATACCACAAATTTATCTGGTTTTTTTGCCCCCCTCTCCCGAACCCACACAAAGCACTCGGCATTCAAAAGCATTTTCTCTAAGCTGGAGACAGGCTAAGGACAATGCAGGGGGCTTTGCTCTCTCCTCAGGAAGCATTTCAGTCAGGACAATGGTGCGGAACACACTGAGGGAGTGATAGGAGAAGAATGTGGATGAGTAAGGCATAAATAGACATGATCAGGTTAAAGGATCAAAAGCTCAATGGTTTGTTTTTCTTTTCTTTTTCCTACCTCGTCTCTTTCAGACAGAATTTTTCATTTTCCATTTTTGAAAACTTTTCCAAACAATGTGAAAGCGCAGCGAGGAAACCAAATAATGAAACGCTGTAAGTATTCACATGCAGGTGCTTGGGAAGCCGCGTCTTCTTCCGCGGGCACCTTATTGTTATTTGCTGTGACGATTTTCTTTTGATAAAAGTCTTAGTGAGTGGATGTTTGCAAGGTGTTTTTCTATAGTTTAAAATGGGAACCTTTTTTCTTTGCAAGTGGCAGCAAGTTGTACATGTTATCTTAGCTGTTCTTTTTTTTTTTTAAAATCAAATGGAAATGAAAAGGTCTCTTTTAAGAATATAACAAAGTTGTTACTATATGCATTAATGTATATAAAACTGCCGTTTCACTTTCAGACATTTGGGTATCACTAATGGCAATACTAAATGAGGGCTTCATCTGAAGGAACCATCTCTAGGCACATTCCATAAAGACAAGCTGATTGCAGACACGGCTTCTAAAAGCAGGTTCTTCCCTTCAAAGACTTTGGGGCTAGCTCGACCACTGAGCTCCTGATTATGGGATCATTCTTCCATGTGTGTTCCTGTATGTGTGGATGCACACACGTGTGCTTACATGGGAGGCCAGACCGCACCTTGGGTATCATTTCTCAGGAGCTGTCCATTCTGTGTTTTTGAAACCGGGTCTCTCCCCGAGACCTAGAGCACACCAGTTAGGCTAAGCTGACAGGTCCATGAGCTGGAGGAACCCTCTTGTCTCCAGTTTCCCAATACTGGGGTTTTCACGAGAGTTCTAGGGACCCGACTCAGGTCCTCATGCTTGCACAGTGAACATTTCCCAATGGCACCATCTCCCCGGGCCCTTCACATTAATCTTAATGTCATCATTACCATACACTAGATGGCAGCCACATGTCTATTCTACTGACTGATTCTAACATTTTTCCTGCTTTAAACGCTCTCTGCCCTGGCATTTCCCTTACCTTCAACTGTAAAAGAGCAAGCCTCAGAAGACAAGCCCCCGTGTCCCTAAGCCACATTTATTACCATTCCTCCCATGCGCCATGGAGGACTACAAAACCAGACACCCTTCTCAGACACTCTGCAAAGCTCTTCTATTTCCTCTTATCTTCTTCCCACCAATCTCAGAGTGTGGTGGAGGCAATGTGTGCTGTGATGCAGAGACCTTGGACCACAAGTTATCTCAAAGTTGGAGGTGACCCTTGGTGCAATGTCTTGCAGCTCAGAGTTTAACATGTGCCTTTTGGGGAGACAATAGTTCTGGACCACATTTATGCTTTCTGAGACATCTTTTCCTCTCAATATGGAGCAATAGAAATGAGAATTGACTTACCGAACCAGAGTGAAGGATGCTATCACAGCATCTCCCAGGATGGATGCCAGCCTGTCCTCCTCTCCCTTTTTTCCTTAGTCACCACTGTCCAGCCTATAATATTCCTTTTCTCATACCTCCCTCTTTGTGTCTCTGTTCATAGGACTCATTTGCAGCCATTAGCTTTATACTTAGAAACAGAAAACTGTAGTCACAGACCGCTTGTTTGTTTCCCAGCTGCTCAGACTCCAAATAACCACAGAAACTGTATTAATTAAATCACTGCTTGGCCTATTAGCTCTAGTTTCTTATTTGTTGACAGAGGTTTTTGTCCTGCCTGGTCCATAGCAGTTCAGTCCCAAAGAAACATACAGAGGACTACATTAATTATAAACTGATTGGCCTATTAGCTCAGGCTTCTTATTAATTAACTTTTACATCTTAACCCATAATTCTTGTCTGTGTTAGACATGGCTTGGTACCTTTTTTATCAGTGAGGCATTCTCATCTTGCTTACTCTGCAACTGGGTGATGACTGCAGACTGAGCCTTTCCTCTTCCCAGAATTCTGTTCTGGTCACCCCACCTATACTTTCTGCCTGGCTACTGGCCAATCAGCATTTTATTAAACCAGTACAACTGACAAACCTTTACAGTATACAAGAACATTGTCCCACAGTACTCCTGCCTTTTATTCTTTTCAAAACAAGAACTCTGAACCTAATCTCCTTTGTTTAGCTTTTTCCCTGACCATTATCCATTACAATTTATAGCCAACACTCTAAACAAAGACAAATATCCATAATCCATTTGGGGGGGAATATGGGCGTAGTTTTCTAGGCTACTTCCTGTGGATTGGGGGCACTGATAATCTTATGGAACCTAAAGAAAATTTAGAATTATGATCAAGTCCTGACTGGAATATTCTGTGAGGCTTGACCATCTTGGCCAACAGTCTTGAGGCTGTTTTAAATGTAGAACTCAGAGGAAACTCCAACAGAGTCCTCTGAAATGTTGGATCATCTGGGTCATCCACTCCTATTGGAGACTTTTTTCAGGAGGTCTTCCTTGATCAAACCTGATTTTTTTTAACCAAAAAGAATATGCAGCCTCTCATTTCCTGTAGAAACAAAAGCGAAACCTCTTCTCCAAAGTAACATATAGTTTGACTTAAATTTTGAAGTCAAAGTATTTTCAAAATATATATGTTGTATTAATCCAGCAGCATTTATAATCAAATGTCTTTTAGCAGCTATTGCTCCTTCTTCAGCTGTCAAACAATTCAAAGTCAGTACAATAGCATACAGTATCCAGACTCTCTGTGTATTTTCCACCTTTATGTGACTTTATTTTTAACTCTATTTCTTTTATTTTTAATTTTTAATTTTTTTGAGACAGGATTTCTCTGGGTATCTTTAGCTGTCCTAGAATTCACTCTATAGACCAGACTGTCCTTGAACTCAGGGAGACCCATCTGCCTCTGCCTCCCAAGTGCTGGGATTGAAGGTATGTGCCACCACACCCAACTACTTTCTTTCTTTTTCTTTTTTTTTTTAAGGACTTTATCCCTTTTCTTTTCTCTCCCACATTTTTAAGCACACTGTAAACTGTTTAGAGTTTTTTTTCCTCTGAATGTATCTTTACTATATATTTCTCTTTTTCTTACCATATGAGTCTTTAATTTGCTAAACATTGTGGCTAGGATTAAAGCTGTGACTTTGATGACTGGATCCACCCCATTTCTTAGCTTTCTGTGAGTCTAACTTCATAGTGGAGGTACTGGTAGGCGCCATGTTTATTGTCACAACTCTATGGCATTCCAGGGTCCCAGCCACCACCATGAATTATGCTGTTGGCGATTCATAAACACCATTTAAGTGTATTGTGGCTGGGCCTCTTAAGAGAGCTGCAAGGTTTTTCAGCTAAAGCTGAGTCAGGAAGCCTCTCTTAAATAAGACATGCTTGCCTTTAGCAAACAGAGCCCACCTGAGAAAATGATGCTACCAAGAAACCATGCTTAACTCTGTTCTTTTGTGTTTAGAATTACTTCCCAAGCTCTTTCAGGTTTTATGTTGATATTGTTGTCCACTTTATATCTTACATTAACACATAATTATTGTCTGTGTTAGCTATATGGCTTGGTACTTTTATCAGTGAGGCATTCTTATCTTGTTTCCTCTGTGTTTGGGTGACAACTGCAGACTGAGCCTTTCCTCTTCCCAGAGTTCTCCTGTTCTGGTCACCCCAACTATACTTTCTGTCTGGCTACTGGCCAATCAGTGTTTTATTAAACCAATACAAGTAACAAATCTGTACAGGATTTAAGACCATTGTCTCACAGCACTTACTGGCTAGTTTTTACATCTTAAATTAACCCATTTCCATTATTTTATATTTTACCGTATGGATCATGGTTTATTGGCAGGGTTCCAGCACATGTCTCCTGTGGTGGCTACATGGTGTCTCACTGACTCCACCTACTTTCTCCCAGCATTCAGTTTAATTTTCCTGCCTAGTTCTATTCTGCCCTATCACATTCCAAAACAGCTTCTTTACTAATTAACCAATAAAAATGACACATGTACAAAAAAACTTCCCATACCAAAAAAAAACATTTCTAAGTACATTCAGTTGTGGTGCCAAGAGTGGTTATGCAGAGAGACTTAATCCACCCTCAGCAACTGCCATCGACCCTGCCCAGTCTTTCCAAATGAGCATCACCTTTGGGTTTCCTATGGTAATGCTGCTTTGAGACAAGGCTCCAAAGTGTAGCTCACACCCTACAAATTACCTTAACTTAATACACAATCTAAGTTGCATTGCTCCCCATGGAAACATTTATTTTTTAAACATAGCCTATGTTGGCCTCAAACTATGTAGTCAAAATTACCTTGAATCCTCTGATTTCCTAGCTCCTCTTGGATTCTAGGCATGCACTCTTATATCCAGTCTATTTGGTGCTAAGTAGTAAATCCAGGGCCCTATGCATACTAGGTGAGCACTTACCAGTTGAGCTATGTTGCTTGCCCCTGAAAACACATTTTTTAAATAAAGGCAAAGCTCTACCAGATACTCATTCTGAAGCCATCCCCTGAACCTTAGCTGTTCTTCCCAAGAAAATCTGGTATTCTCACCACTGTGACTGACACCACCACCCTCTTAAAAAAAAAAAAAGAAACCATATTTCCTCTTTCCCTCTCAGTTGTCACTGGAACAGTCACTGCCTCTGCCTCCTAAGCCAGTATTCCTAAATCCCTGAGTCTATTCACACTCCCTAACATAGCCAGCAGAACCTGCCTTTGTCAGTATGCATGACACTGTCCTTGCAGGCTAGCCCAGGAGAAAAATCTGCCAGACATATGCCTGGTAGGACTAAAACATCAAGGAGGTGGATGGGGAAGAAGAACATGTGGGACCCCTTACTTATATGTGTTCAGAAATCATGGCAGAAGTCTTAGAAGTTTAAATCAGTACCTCAAGCAGTTGTGATGATTTGATGAGGGGAAGAGTAAAAGAAATAGAGACAACAACGGTTGGAATATTCTTATTCAGTTTTGTGCTACTGTTTTGTATGAGGCATCTACAAAACCTGCTTGAAGTGTAGATTCCTGGGCTCCATGCCTGTAGATTTTGATCTGCATTTTAAACAAGCACCCCGATGGTTCAGACAGACATTTATTCCCCCCAACCACACTTTGGAAACCACTGACTGAAAAATGATAAAGATCTCTGAGCTCAGGATGTAGAGGCCAAATCCTGACACTGTCCCCACAAAGGATCATAGGCCTATCCCATCTTCTTTAATTATGGTTTCCTTTCTAACAATATGAGGAACAATAAAATGATCTCTAAGCACCAGTATTAAGAAGGATTTGTTTCCTTAATAATTCTTTATAACCATCTTCTCCTGGAAAACTAATAGTATGTAATTATATTGATATCTATGATATAAAAAATAAGTGTATTGTTTAAAATATTTAATAATAACACAGATAAGGTTCCTATACTGTGCCTTGTGTGGCCACAGTTCTTTCCCTTATTGGGCATTTTTGCATCTTTTTTTAAAAAACAAAAACAAAAAAACCTACGGATTCCCTTCGGTACTGAATGCCTTAGATATATTCTCATCAGTTTAGTGAATTAGGTACAACTTCCAAGTACATTGTATGAAAGGTTTTAAGAGTAGGAAAAATACTTTAAAAATATTTTTAATTAATTCTTTGGGAATTTCATATAATGTGCTTTGATCATATTCACACCCACTCGTTCCCCCAAATCTCCCTATGTCCTTCTCCCATCTCCTCTAATTTCATGCCTTTTTTTAATAACTTACTGAGTCTAGTGTGTGTTGATTACACATTCATAGATGTGGGGCTATTCACTGGAGGCATGATTGATGTACCGGGAGCCAGATTCTTACAGAAAAGTGGTGCTCCCTTCCCCAGAAGCCATTAACTGTCCAAAGATCCCCAGGAGTCTGGCCTTATGAGCCACTCATCACTCCATACAGTGCTGGACCTTGTGCAGCTCTTATGCAGGTCTCCATACAGGACTGTTAACTGCTGGACCTTGTGCAGATCTTATGCAGGTCTCCATACAGGACTGTTAACTGCTAGACCTTGTGCAGATCTTATGCAGCTCTCCATACAGAACTATTAACTGCTGGACCTTGTGCAGATCTTAAGCAAGAAGCCACAGCTGCTGTGAGTTCATGAGGTCAGCTGTCCTGATATATCCAGAAGATACTGCCCATTCTGTTCCTCTTCAAACTGTGGCTACTAAAATCTTTTCATCCACTCTTCCATGATGGTTCCTGAGTCTTGGGTGTGGGCATGGTGTCTCTTTTACGGCTAAACACCCTGCTGACACTTACTCTCCGACTTTTGACCAATTGTAAGTTTCTGCATTAATTGCCATTCATGGCACAAAGCAACTTCTTTGATAAAGACTGAGATCTAAACCAATGTATGGGTGTAAAGATTGATTTAAAGAGCAGTTTGATGCTGTGTCCACTTAGAAAAATCACAATAATAAATAAAAAATAATAGTAGTAGGTTCATCCCTATGGCCTCTAAACTCCACATCCCTAAATTCCTAGCCAGATTTATAGTACCTGGCATGCATTTCCTCTTGTAGAGTATACCTTAAATTCAAACAGAGGTTGGTTACTCCTCTAACTATTGAACCACTATTGCACTCATGGGATTATTATTCTTCACAGGGGTCACAGATGAGTCACACTATTGATGACTTCTTTTTCCCTACAAAGCACCTTCTAGAACTATGAAAGCTGGCCAGTTTGGAGGAAACTAGCCCCATCCTCCTGGTGAGCAAAAAAAAAAAATACTTTTAATGACAAAAACTCTAAGGTAAAAATTTCAGAAAAAAGTCCAAACTCACTGAGCCCATAATCATCAAATACATGTTCAAGGTTCTCATGCCTTATTAATTTCTTCTAGAACCATGGTTTCTTAGTGTAGAGTTGTTCAATCTAAACAAAAAATGTATTTAACAGAACCAAAACTCTGCTAAAGACTGTGAAGTAAGATCTTGATCCTGGTAAAGTTTTTGTCTTGCAAGCATGAATACCTGAGCTTGATTCCCAGAACCCACATTTTAAAATAGAAAGAATGTGGTCCCATAAGCTTGCAGTCCCATTGCTGGAGAGTGATACAGGCCAGCCACCCTGTCTTACTTGGTAAGTTCTAGACCAATGAAAGTCCCCATCTCAAAAAACAAAGGTGGATGGTTGCATCCATGGTTCTTTTCTATTACACACACACACACACACACACACACACACACCACACCACGCCAAAATTAAGAGATAGCCAAGAATGATGGTGCATACCTATAATCCAACACTTGGGAGTTAAGATCAAGAGTTTAAGGCCAACCTTAGCTATGTAGCAAGTTTAAGACTAGCCTTGGCTAAATAAGATCCTGTCTAAAATTCTAAAAGAATATTAAATGAGATAAACACACATCATTACTTATTGGCAGTATGTTTTGATAACTAAATGCAACTCTAGCAGAAAAAAAAGAATAATGAACTCTTTGGAGAATAGGAACAAGAATGGTTGTTTTGAGGGATTTGTCTTTCAGGATTAGAGAGAATTTTCTCCTTAGGATTAGAAAGAAAAGAAAGAAAGAACATTTCCAGAAGTAGGTGAAACCCAGGCCAAGCAAAGCCTTGAGGCTCATCAAAAGGAAAAAGTGTGACTTTTATCCCATAAATGATAGGACATGGAGAAGGGATGAACTGCCAAAGTAGAGTTGAGATTTCTGTTTTGAAAAGGCCATTCCAGGAAACTGTATTGGAGAGAACTAAAACCAGATAAGGGCTGTCAAGAAAAGAAATCAGTAACAGTGCCCCAAGAGAGAGTGTGGATGTAAGCCCAGGAATCTCAGTGGGGTGGATGCTCCACCAGCCACAGACTCATACCCTAAGGAGTGCTGGATTTCATCCTTCTTACTGTTGTCCATGCTTTTCTTCCTCTACTCCTAAATTTGTAGTAATCTGCCATTGTTTTCTGGTTCCCATTTGGAATACTGGATTAAGCAAGGACTTCATTGGAAATGAGACCTCAATAACTGATGGATGATTCTTAATGCTGCCAGCCTTGCAGCCCCACTGTGTGCTGCTACAAACAGCTTGGTAGCAATTTGCATAACAACTAAATGAGATAAATAGATAAGAAAATGCCAAGAAAGGATTCTTTTAAATTTAGCATGTATATTTTATGTCTCTAAACTTGTTTTCCAAAGAAAATCATCCCTCGTAAACAGCTTCATTAAGTCGTTGCATCAGCATGCTAAATAGATATATATTATACCATCTAGAGGCTTTTCATTTTCTTTTCAAAGAATTCCATCAAATGTGGTAATTTAACAAGTAAATGTAAGTCTAGGGCCATGATGACTTTGTTTTCTTTTGTTTCTTAGGCTCTAAAAGCCCACTAAGGATGATTCTTGAATTTATTTTAATACTCAGAAATATAGGACACCTTTTATATTTCCCTCAAGCCAATGTTTGTCTTGCAGCTATTACGCGATTTTTGAGGAGAGTGAATTGAGTGGCTGGGATTACGATTATGGCTTCTGCTCACCCAAGACGCTCCAGTGTGCTCCAGAACCAGATGCTTTTAATCCCTGTGAAGATATTATGGGCTACGCCTTCCTTCGGGTCCTGATTTGGCTGATTAATATCCTAGCCATCGTTGGCAACTTGACAGTCCTCTTTGTTCTCCTGACCAGCCGCTACAAACTGACGGTGCCCCGTTTTCTCATGTGTAATCTCTCCTTTGCAGACTTCTGCATGGGGCTCTATCTGCTGCTCATTGCTTCAGTGGACTCCCAGACCAAAGGCCAGTACTATAACCATGCCATAGACTGGCAGACCGGCAGCGGCTGCAGTGCAGCTGGCTTCTTCACTGTGTTTGCCAGCGAGCTCTCGGTCTACACACTCACAGTCATCACTCTAGAGCGGTGGCACACCATCACCTACGCTGTGCAGCTGGACCAAAAGCTGCGGCTGAGACATGCCATCCCAATCATGCTGGGAGGCTGGCTCTTTTCTAGTCTGATTGCCATATTGCCCCTGGTGGGTGTGAGCAATTACATGAAGGTCAGCATCTGCCTCCCCATGGATGTGGAATCCACTGTCTCCCAAATCTACATATTATCCATCTTGATCCTCAATGTGGTGGCCTTCCTCATTATCTGTGCTTGCTACATTCGCATTTACTTTGCAGTTCAAAATCCAGAGCTGGTGGCTACTAACAAGGATACTAAGATTGCTAAGAAGATGGCCATTCTCATCTTCACAGACTTCACGTGTGTGGCACCAATCTCTTTCTTTGCCATCTCAGCGGCCTTCAAAGTGCCTCTTATCACTGTCACCAACTCGAAAGTTCTACTGGTCCTTTTTTATCCTGTCAATTCTTGCGCCAATCCATTTCTGTATGCAATTTTCACAAAGGCATTTCAAAGAGATTTCTTTCTGCTGCTGAGCAAATTTGGCTGCTGTAGACACCGGGCTGAACTTTACAGAAGGAAGGAATTCTCTGCCTATACCTCCAACTGCAAAAACGGCTTCCCAGGATCAAGTAAGCCTTTCGAGGCTGCTCTGAAGTTGTCCAGAGTGCACTGTCAACATCCTGCTGTCCTAGACAAGACTTGCCACCAAGAATGCTAATGTGGTAACTTTATTACTGAATTGTACTTAGATATGGGGAAGAGAAAAGTCTACCTGAGCTAGTCACTTTCATATAATGCGTTTTAGAAAAAATATTTATTCTTAAGCACTTTAGGAGAATTGTACTTGGTTCAGAAGGTGGCCCGTGACGGGTGGTTAATGGAACTGGGCAGTCAGAACTGCCCTCTGGAACTTGATGACATAAATTTCAGGAGTGTTTAGGAACTTTTGTAACAATTTAGAGAAGAGTAATTTTGTTTGTTGAATCTAATATTAAGAAAAACTAAGGTGTCGTTTTTGCATGTCTCTGATCTTTTTCAATTCAGTCTTGTTATTTTTGCTGTAGTCTCTAAAAGTATTAGTTCATAACAGATTGAAAATTTTAAGTGGTCTTTGTCATAAAACAGTTTGATAAATGTATTCAAGAAACGCACTGTGCAGTGTGGTAGCCATTAGCCTTACATGGCAGTAGAAGTTCCTTAGCTGTATTCCAAGTGCTTCCCATATCTGACTAGTAATGGGCGGTACAGATGCCAACCATTTTGTCTGTAGTGTGGGAAGTTCTGTTAGGCAGCTCTGTTCTAGAGACTTCTGTCTCCTGTCTACTTTCCACTTTCCATCTGAAGGCATGTTTCTGCATACTTGTCTAGCTTGCAGATCATGGAAACCTAGTAGGCAGAAGCGCACCTCAGCCCATTTTGCTTCCTCATCTCCTACCTCGGGATCTTGGAAATGATACACAATAAACATGCCCAGCTGACTTGATTAAATCGACAAGGAAAAGTTTTTATTTCTAGAACTTTGCAATTTTAAGCAAAACAAACTACTTAAATATTGAAAATGATTAACTTACATTATTTCCATCCCTTGCAGTTTATTGAAAAATATATCTAATATTTATTAGAAGCATTTTTACTTCTATAGTTGAGTTTTAAAGAACAACCAAACTATGTGTCTAATTGTAGCACTTCCGTTTGCTGCTTTGACTTTTTTTCAAAAGTTCCTTATATACCCAACATCTTGGTTTTTATTTTTTTTTCTATTTTTTATTATGTAATTTCACCAACTGAATCTTTATAAAACCCTATGGAGCAGATGCCATTAATCTTTTATGAGAGAAAAACTGATTATCATTTTTGAAAGTGCTGAAAACTAGTAAAAGATTCATAAAATGATTCAATCTCAAAACTCTCCCAAATCCTAGTCTCTTAATGATTGGTAATCAATCATTAAATATTATCCATATTGGTAATCATGGTTTTCCAAGAGTTACTTTGCTTGAAATATACCAAAAAATAAGATACATTCATGGATAGACAAATAAAAATTGGATAGATAGGTTGTGTTACCTATGAGTTTATACACATTCAAAGTTCTTTAAATTTTTACCACTATTATAGTATGAACATTTTCTTTTTTTATTTATTTATTAAAGATTTCTGTCTCCTCCCTGCCAGCGCCTCCCATTTCCCTCACCCTCCCCCATCAAGTCCCCCTCCCTCATCAGCCCGAAGAGCAATGAGGATTCGTGATCCTAGAGAAACTAAATAGGAAGGTGGACCCAATGAACATTTTCAAATGTATGGAAATGTTAAAGGAGGTATGTAGTGAACACCCATATGTCACCACCATTTAGAGTCAACACTATTTACTCTAATGACTTTCATACATTACTATGCAATTACCTGTTATGTAACTGTACATTGGTGTGTCTTCTATTTTGATATTTTAAAGTAATTTGCAGGCATCAGCCTTACACAAAAGGATATATCATACAATCCCATGCATATGAACTTTAGCGCTCTTATACACCAAAGTGTAATTTCATGTTTATTTACTTCTCAGGTATAGTTTATGTGCAGAGAAATGGACATACCTTAAGTGTGCCACTTGAGTTTTGGGAATTTCATGCACCTGTGTAACTCAAGCTTCTATCAATATTCAGTACACTGTTACCATTAGAGGGTTGCTCAGCCCTGTCACAGAGGTGCTGATCGCCAGATCAAACAATAACGGATTAGTATTTCCTGTCCTATATGGCATATAATTGTAGGTATGTAACACATACACTTTGTCACAACACCTCTGGGACAGTATAATAGTTTTACTATTTATCCATTTAATTGCTTGAATACGCTCATTCATTTCCATTGCTGGCTAATATTCTACCATAGCAATCTTAAACATCGCTTCTCCTGCTGGTGGATATCTTAGCTATTGTCAGTTTTCAACTCCCTGTGAGCATTTATTAAATACATGTCTAGCCACAACTAGATCCCACACATTCAGTTTGCCCTCAGTTCTTAAGTCATTACGGTAAATGATTCAGAGAAGATTGTAAGCTTTTTAAAAAATATATTCTGTATTTTTTACACATATGACTTTTCTGGTCCATGACAAATGACTTGGTTCAGATGGAACTCTCCTGATCATTCTGGAGCCTGTCTCAACAGTACAACAGAATACAAACTCATCATGCTACTGTGTAACTACTTGATGTTCTTCCTGATTTGTAAATCCCATGAACAAAACAACTTAGTAAGAAAAAAAAACAGTAAAACAAGAAGATTCAAACTTATCCTTGTAAATAAGCTTTTAAGCCAGCACACACTCAAATAGTTTGAGCTTAAAGAACTCATAGTATGTCTGAAAGCAATTCATGACCTCTTACACAGATAATGGTCTTTATTTTCCACACTGTAATTTTAGGTTTAATAAATGAAGTCACAGTTTGCTGTCTTCCTCCTTCTCATATCCTCCCACCCATAAGACCTATGTTTGAATTATCCTCCAACCTGCTCTTTAATTTCTATCCCCAGTGCCTTGCATACATCTCAGGACCTTCCCCCTCTTCCTCCTGGACTATGCCACAGTTACCCATTTGTACTCATACCCAGTCTCTCCCAAGTCTTCACGTCATACATACCAGCGATGAGCCTTACCAAAATCCTATTTCATCTCATCACATACCTGCACAGAATTCCCAAGCAACTCATCAACACCTAGAAAATGGAAGCACGCATTCCTAGGCCAACACTCGGAGAATATAAACCATGTCCTCAGACCTGTTCATCCTTTATTCTGCTATTTTCTTCATAAAATGACCTGAACCAGTTACTCTTCCCTAAGCCTTACCCTTCCATCTTCATGTTAGAGCCTATGTCATTCTTACATTAGAGTAATAAATCCCTTGTCCTTGTTTCTACTTCCTTTGGAGTCCAAACTGCAGGGTTTTGCTCTTTGATCTGTTCCTTCCCTAGTGCATTATAGTTAAGACACTGCCTCTGTGTAAAATAAAGGACATACTAAGTATGTAACGCACCGTAGTCTCTTTCTACAGACTTCTTTGGCCTGCATGTGTGTCTGCATGCCACATGTGCACTACATGCATGTCTGGATCCGCTGGAACTGCACCATGTAGGTGCTGGGAATCAAACCTAATCCTCTGGGAGAGCAGCCAGCCCTGTCAACCACTGAGTCATTGCTCCATCGCCTATAGACATCTTGAGCACTCTTCTATATCACTTTTTTTCTTTCCCCACACTGGAGTGTTAATCCCCTACACAAGTCCATCTTTATTTCACCTGGGCTAGAAAGACAAACTACTTTCTCTTAACATGCCCAGTTTTCAAACTGGTTCATTTTCATAACTAAAATATAAAACTGCCTTTGTTAATTATTTCATGTATGACATGTATAAAATGTGTGATACAATCTGTATAATCTCTCATGGGAAATCATAAACAGTTATTCACTATGATTTTATATCTCTCATACTTTTTTACTGTTAGATATTATTATAAGTGGGCTGCAAAATGACTTAAAAGAATTAATCAATCTGGAATAAATCATCTAAACTTATAAAAATAACTTTAGAAGACATTGGTATTTTGTTCTCAACTTATTACACTTGTTATAAAGGACATGACTGAATTTTTCTTAACATATTAATTCTAAATATAAATTCAGAACCTCCCTCACAAAGTATTTCAATAAATAGGTTCATATAGAAAATAATAATTTCTGGGCTAAGCAGACAGCTCTGTTAATAAAATACTTGCTGCAGAATGCATCAAATGTGGAGAACACGAGTCAAATAATCCCAAGATAACTTTGAATAGAGTACACTAAGATTTTTCTTTATTAAAAAAGGAAACTCACAGAATGGGAATGGGGGTCCATCTTCTGTGTGGAGTGCAGCAAATGGGTAGGACCACAGCTTTTTGGTACCCAAAAGACATGCCTCAACTTGGTCCAACCTCTCAAAGGCCATTGGCTGAAGGAGGTTTATCATCACCTCCCCCTTTTGTTTAGAGAGTTCCAAATCAAATACAAAACTATATACAACAAGAACAGATATCAAGTATGAAAATTAGAATTAGAACCAGTATAAATGATATTAAGTAAGGAACATATGCTAAATGTTTCAATAATCATTCTATCCTAAGGAGTCTAAGCCTTGTATTAGAAAGGGCTTGGTTAAAGCATAAGAGGAAAGTACCTGCATCCATCTAATCTTCAATCCAATTGAAAGCCTGAGAAGGGAGATAATATTACTTGAGTAGGCAGAAAGTACAATCTAACAGCTTCCAAAATGTGCAGAAGATGACAGAGAAAACTGGCTACTTGGGCAATCTCCCAAAGTCTCTTTTGTAATGTTGAAGCAACCAACTTTGGCTAAGGCCTAGAGTAGCTTACAGACCATTTTCAGTGGCAGGAAATTTTTTCAAAACTGTTTTACCCTGTCTTTGCAAGGTTTGGTAGTCTTTTTTCTTGTATCCTTCTTGTCCAGTCTTGACGCCATGCATTTTATCAGTGGTGGAGGCATGGGCAGTTCCTTGCCCAAAGTTCAGTTTTGCCAAGAAGAAAACAAGCTCCAAGCAGAGTGTCTTCAGTGCTCAATATTCTCTCGGGAATAGATTGGTGCTGCCAGGAGCAATCATGTCTCATGTCAACAGAACCCTAACTTATTTAAATGCCATTTTTTTTCTTTTTCTTTTTTTTATTTATTTATTTACTTATTAAAGATTTCTGCCTCCTCCCCGCCACCGCCTCCCATTTCCTTCCCCGTCCCCCAGTCAAATCCCCCTCCCTCGTCAGCCCGAAGAGCAATCAGGGTTCCCTACCCTGTGGGAAGTCCAAGGACCACCCACCTCCATCCAGGTCTAGTAAGGTGAGCATCCAAACTGCCTAGGCTTCCACAAAGCCAGTACGTGCGGTAGGATCAAAAACCCATTGCCATTGATCTTGAGTTCTCAGTAGTCCTCATTGACCACTATGTTCAGCGAGTCTGCTTTTATCCCATGCTTTTTCAGACCCAGGCCTCGCCATAAATAAGGGAAATTGAGCCTATAAATGCCATGTTTTACAGTTCCACTGGTATCTCCTAGTAGGCTGAGAGTTATTATAAGTAGACACTATGAAGGCAAATTTTTTTCGCTCTTTTCTTGTAAATGTATAGTAAAGAAACAAACTTTTAAATCAATAACTGTAAGAGGCCATCCTTTTGTTAATAGAGAAGGCAGAGGAATTCCAGATTGTAGAGGGACCATGGGTTGAAAAACCTTGATGACAGCTCTTAGACCTGTCACTAGTCTCATTTTCCAGATTTCTTCTTAACAACAAATACAGGAGGATTTCAAGGTCTGGTTGATTCTTCAATATGGTGAGCATCTAGTTGCTCCGGTATCAGCTGTTCTAAAGCCTGTAGTTTGTCTTCTGTTAATGGTCATTGTTTAACCCATATTAGTTTCTCAGTTAACCATTTAAAAGGCAGGAATATTAGTACCTCTGAAGGTTTTCCATTTGCTTTGTGTTCTTGTACGGCCTGAATGGCTGATGACCTTTGTGTATAATACCTTATAATGTCCTTTCCAGAAACCTGAGTTTTGGGGACTATAGGAATGTTAACCTGGGTATTTCATTGCTTCAACAGGCTACCACCCATAAACTCACTGCAATATTAACTACATATGGCCTCAGCCTTCCTCTCTTCTTCTGGCCCTATGCATTCAACCCATCTTGTGCTTTGTTTCACTTGAGATAGGGCTCCAATTCCTAGGAATTTAACATCTGCCTTGTGAAGAGGCCAATTTTGATGCCAAGATTCTGGAGTAACAATACTCATGTCTGCATCTGTGTCTAGTAATCCCTCAGTTACAATGTTATTTATACACACTCTTAGCTTTGGTCAACTTTGGTCTTTGATAATTTATAAAAGTCTTCCAAGATATACATTTCCTATTGGAGTTATTTATTCACCCTCCATGTCTATTCCATCATCCAGAATAGTATGGTCTTTTACAGTAGGCTCCAGATTTTTTAATTTTCCTGGTAAGACATGTCCTCCATAGTGACTGGGAATAACAAGACCATGTTTGACATGGGGCCTGCAAAAGGTTCCCCAAGGAGTTTCCCGATGGTATTGGGTGGCCTTGTCTGCCCTTTTTCAATCTACATTCATTGGCACAATGCTGACCTTTGCCACATCTCGTACATATTCCAGAAGGCTGAGACCACCCATTTTTGCCATTCCCAGAGGAGACATTATTCATAGGAATTCTTTGTCTACAATCTCTTTTCAGATGTCTTATTCTACTGCAATTAAAACATTTGGCATTTTGGTTTCTCCTCATACCATTGGAAATCGCTTCTCCTACCCAAGTCTCAGTGCTATAGTCAAGTGTCTCAACATTCATTTTATGCAAGATTCATTCATCTATTGGTGTTGATCTGACCTTTAATGGCCCAAGGATGTTTTTGCATTCTAAGTTGGCAATTTCAAAATCGAGAGATTCAATAAATTTACATCTAGGTCCAGGTCTGTAACTACTACTTGTACAGCCTTAGTCAATCTTTGTAAAAAAAAAAAAAAAGTGACTAAAGGATTCTTTCTGGCCCTTTTTAATCATAATATATTATTAAATTCTCTTTCCCAGTTCCTGAATCCTGACCCAAGTATTTAAAACTGATGTGCTATATAGAACAAGGTGTGTTCATCATAGAGAGCCTGATCCTGGGGATCAGAGTAATGACACTCACCAAGAATTTGATCTTGGGGTGACTCAAATCCTTTTGCTTTCCCCTGTTGTTCTAAAATTTTTGCCTCTTCTTGCCAATAGCATTTCCATAGCAGTTGGGGTCCATTTTCTAGGACTGCTGAGATTAATGGAAGACAATTGTGTGGGGTAGCCTTATTGCTGGAAGCCCACGTTTTCACCATTTCCCTAACAAATGGTGAATGCAGACCATAAGATACTATTGCTTGCTTAATTTCCTTTAGATTGCTCATACCTATAGGTTGCCATATATATTCTTTGACTACTTTAGAGTATTTTGTGCCAGATGACTTCTCAGAGGATATTACCAGATAGGCAGCTAAAAATCTGGGTATGTCATCCCAGACTCTGGCATGTACTGGACAAGCGAAATCCTGTCTTTGTCCCTTATCTCTCTGATCATCAATTTTGATAATTTCCTCAATCTTTTCAAATATTTTTACCACTGACTTTTGTAAAGTCCAAATCTCCTTTCCAGTGTTGCATTTTAATACCCTCATTGATGATTCCAAGGTTTGTCCAGAAAAGATAACGTCTTATCCTGGGACATAATTTTGATGGTGTGCATAGTGCCTTCATGGAGAGATACCTTATCCATTAACCTATCATAACTTTTCAACAGATTCTGATTGTTAAATTCAACAGCATGAATTCTTTCAGATAATGTCTCAGCCCCTTTGACATTGATTGGATTTTGTCAGTCAAATTAATCTTTTCAACTAGCTGTTCATTATTAGCCTATAAATACTGTATCATTTCGAAAAGTGCCTCATTCTTTGATCTGTTATCAAACCATTTTCTTAATGATATAATATGGAAATAAACTAACTCCCAAAATCAAATAAATGGATGTATATGGAAAATCACATAAGCCTTGCAGGATACCATCCATAGCATAAGAAATTAATTCCTGAATGGTAATATTTTCAGTAATCATGTAATTTTTAAATCTTACCTGTCATAGGCAATTACAGTGAATTGGAGTAGGTGTAATAACCTTTATTGGCCAGCAGGTGTTGTGGTTGCAGCCTTGTAGCAGAGGGACTTGGAGGAGAAGCTCCCCCTGGCTTTTCTGGGATCATTCACTTTGGTTCCACATGAGTCATCAACTTAGATGTTGATAAATACGCTTTGTTTAACAAATTAAGAGCAGTCATTAAGGGCAATCAAAGCAATTCCTAGAGTTTGTGGTCAGAATAAGAAGGAAGCTTTCCTTCAGTCATGAGCCACAAACTGTGCATGGTGTGAAAGAAACACGGCAGGGATCACCAGTGGAGAGGCAGCTGGCAGGGAGTGTCAGGTTCCTAAGCAGTGTCAGATGGGCCACAAGCAGGAGAGAAAATTGCCCACGCTGGTGAACCAGGAGGTTCAGGTTCCTGGTAAGCATGTACTTGGCCCAATGTTGTGTGCCAGATGATATGGGCACCTTAAATGAGGGGAATGTGAGTCAAAGAATCCCAAGATAACTCTGAATAGAGTATACTAAGGGTTTTTTTTATTTAAAAAAAAAAAGGAAACTCATGGAACAGGATTGGGGGTCCAACATCCAGGTATGAAGCATGGGAAGAGAGGGGTAAATGGCTGGGACCGTGACTTTTTGGTACCCCAAAGACATGTCTCAACCTGGTCCAGCCTCTCAAAGGCCATTGGCTGAAGGAGGCTCCCCATCAAATACTTGCCATATAAGCATGAGGACCTGAGTTCAGAACCCCAGCACCCACATTAAAACAGGGAGCAGTCATGTATATCTGTAATCCAGCATTGTTTGGGAGATATGGGTGGACACAGAATTCTGGAGCTCATTTGTTAGCCAGACTAGCAGAATCGGTGAGCTCAAGGTTCAGGAAGAGACCTTGTCTCAAAATTTAAGATGAGAGTGATCAACAAAAATAACCAATGCTGACCTCTGACCTCCACATTCAGGCACATGCATGTACATCTGTACATGCATACCCACACATATTCTTATACACAAAAATAATTTTCCCTTCAAAGATGGGTGATCAATTAGTCACAATCAACCAGCCTGAAAATATTAGATGGAAAACTCCAGAAACAAGCATTTGACGCATTTCTGATCGATCACTTCACTGCATGGTACTATAAATCTCATACCATCACACTCAATCACACGAGGACTGGATCATGATTTTGTCTAGCATATTCACACTGTACTGTGAGTCATTTAGCAGCCACTTTGGTTAACAATTTCTCTGTCACAATATCACATTTAAATAACCTTTGTTTTACTTAATGACAGGACAACCTGCAACAATGGTGCTGCAAAGAAGGCTCTAGTACATAACAACAAATTAACTCTCATGCTATGCAGCATGAAGCACATATAGACAAAAACATGGTACATGTAGGGTTTGGTACTGAGATTTCAAACTTGCCCTGGAGTCTTGAGTTAAATAAAGTCCCTTGCTTTTTATCATAACTAGCTGTTGCTATTTGCTCCAAACTTAATAGTTCCCCCATAGAATGTAAATAACACCAAAATGTCAGTTAATATTAAAAACAAAAACAAAAACAAAAAAACATTGCTCTGTGAAGTCTGTGTTGTGCTAAGGATTGTTTGCACATATTCAGCACCTGTTGGGGTGTCCTGTACATTGAATAAAGCAAGCAAAAGAAGATGACCAGGAAAGGTCAGATACTTGGTCCCTAAGATACTAATTCTGTGCAATTTCAATAAGATCTTGGCTTGCAGGAAATAGGAAGAACATTTAAGAGCACTATCAGACATGAATAGGAGGAAGGTTTGTGAAGTCCTCAAAGTATGCTGTCACAGAATTAGGACACACGCTACTCTCACAGATATCTAACACCGTAAACTCTAGCCGAACAAGAGACATTTTCTCCATTAATAAAATGGCGCATGACATTTATTAAGAGATTGTCTACAGACTTAAAAAATTATACCATGGTGCCTTGCTACAACAGGCAGTAAGAAATACCTAACTTGGATATGAGATATAAAGAGTTAAAGGGAAATAGTGGAATGGAGAAGATTAAAGTTGAGAACGGAGGGCAGGAAAAATGGGGGAATACCTGAAGGGATAAACAACACTACCTACCTTTTGAAAAAGTCATATGGAAGGATACTACAATAAAAGCTTCCTAAAATATATACATACACATATATACAGTCTAAATGCAGCTATTCTATAATAGGGTAACATTTGCCTCTACTGCAAATCACACACAAATAAATACAAAGCCCAGTGTCAGGAACGGATTACCTCCTTCGGAGTCATTGGCCAGTAAGTGTCCTTAGACCCCCAAGCTTTACAGACTATTGTCAAAATCCTTGGTTACCCTCCAGAACATGAAACTAATACCCTATTACTAAAGACACTTGAGAAATAGAACATTCTTATCAAGCTGATACTCACCTGGAAGTTTCAACTACTGCATAGCTTTTGGTGATGGAAGGTGTTATTCTCGCTATTAGAGGAGAAAGTAATCATCACTCTTACCCAGATGTGAAACCTGAGAACTACAACAACACTCAACCTGGCAAAACATGCTCACTGGCACTGCAGCAGCACAAGCATCATGGGGGGAACAAACTATTTTCTGGTTAGATTGAAACCCATAGATGGAACCTTTAGTAGGGCCAAGAACCAATAAGTAGACAGGTGATTGTTGAAATAAGTGTGGTGGGGCTGCGTCCCCAGCACCCTGGCCGCCTGGCTAGCTTATGCCCGAAATAACAACATACAAACTGTATTCATTTAAAGACTGCTTGGCCCATTTCTATCTAGCCTCTTCTCGGCTAACTCTCGCACCTGGACTAGCCCATTTCTAATAATGTGTGTAAGCACCCCAAGGTGCGCTTACCGGGAAGATTCTAGCCTATGTCCATCCTGGGTCGAAGCTGCCTGGGAGAGCGGAGCCTGGCGTCTCTGCTCCAGAGAGCAGAGCTGTCGAGTCTCTCCAGGAGCAGAGCAAAGTCTGACCTCATTTCCTCTTCCTCCCAGCATCCTATTCTGTTTACTCCTCCCACCTATGTTTTAACCTATCAGGGCCAAGGAGTTTCTTTATTGCTTAACCAATGAAATCAACAGATTGATATATGACACTCCCACATCAGATGATAGTTTGAGGAAAGAATTTACTACTATTATTTTTGCTAAATGAACATAGTACTAAATGAACTAACTTATCATTGTGCTCCCAGATTAACCCATTTCTCAACCCTCATAAGAGAAGCTTCTACTTGCAATAGGCAGCAACTAACACAGAGACTCGCAGCGGACCAAGGTGCAGAGAATAATAGACTGCAGAGTGCTTAGCCGTAAATGGGACACCTAGATGATACCCCATCCTCCCAAGGGACAAGGAGGCGTGATGATGGCTGAAAGTAAACAGCTTTTTCCTGGCACAGCAGAGCACATGTGAACACACACGACAGATGTGACAGCAGGAACAAGACCTTTGCATGCCTGAGCCAGACAAAATTCCAGCATGGAGAGGGAAGGTGAGCATGAAGCCCTACACAGTCAAGGAACCATAAGCAATTTACAGCTTTTGAGGCAGGGAGAGTCAGTTTTCTCAGAGTTTGACCCCTAGTTAGGTCAGCCATGCCCCATTGGGAGGCTATTTATATCCAAGAATATACAAGAAGTACAAAGTGGACTCAGTAAGCCTAGAAATAAAAAGAGGACACAAAGTCGGGTGGTCAAGGAAGAGGGGTAGGTTTAGGAGGATTGGAGGAGGGGTGAATATGATCAAACACACTCAAAGAATAAAAATAAGAAGTAAATAGCAAGTGTGGTAGTTTGAATGTATTTGGCCCCCACAATCTCATAGGGAGTGGCACAAAATCAGGTATAGGTTCCATCTTATGTAGTATGCCTTAAATCCATTCTTAGAAGTGGTTGGTTACTATCCTAACATTTGTGCCACTATTGCACCAGTGGTCATACCCTGTAGGCAGGTTGTTATTACAGCTAACAGGTTTTGTAGCTGGGTGAGACTCGTCCACTCTTGGAAACATACCTAAAGGGCTCCACATCTGTAGGCCCATATTTCTACTTGGTGTGACAGCCAAGTTCTCAGGCCATAGTTGGTATCCAGAGCAGTCATGTACCCTGCCAGACAGGCTGTCACCACCCTAACAAAAGCTCAGGATATGTTGCTCCTTTTCTTTTGTAAATGTAGATCATCTGAAAAGAGGTGTAAATTCCAGGCTAGTGACTGAGCTGCAGATGTGACTGTAGTCCTGCTACCCCGGAAGCACAATGTTAATGAACTTCCACCTTAGTTTGCCTTGGGGGATAAAAGGTGTTGGATAATAAATGCGGGTGATCTTCAGGATTTGAATGAAGCCTAAGACTCCCTTCCTATATTGCTGTGTGTACTGTGTCTCAGTTATTCCCGCACCTCCACGACGATCCAGAGAGGGACAAGTAGTTTATGTTAGGGCATGGGACTCTGACACACATCTTATGACACACATCTTGCTCATCTGTGTTCATTCATACTAGTCAGAAACGTGAAATAAATGAGATGTTCATCAACTGATGAAAGGATAACGAAAACTGTGGTACATTTACCCAATGGGATATTATTCAACTGTTAAGAATATAATGTGTGTATACATATATACATGGTATAAAACTTTTTAATAACCACATATAAGAGAAAACATATAATGTTTGTTTTTCTGGGTCTGGGTTACCTCACTCAGGACAACTGTTTCAGTTCCACCCATTTACCTGCAAATTTCATAATTTAATTCTTACAATAAAGTTTTAATTTATTAAAAAGAAAGTTGACTTGAATCTAGAATAGTGGTAACTAAAGATTGGGTAGGGCATTGGGGAAGGGTAGAAAAAGGAAGGCTGTATTTTACTGATGCATGCTAGAAATGTGTATAAAAATATCCCACCAAACCCTGTTAGCATTATTAATGAATGGAATGTTAGTTAAAAATGATATGGCAAGCCGGGCGGTGGTGGCGCACGCCTTTAATCCCAGCACTCGGGAGGCAGAGGCAGGCGGATCTCTGTGAGTTCGAGACCAGCCTGGTCTACAGAGCTAGTTCCAGGACAGGCTCCAAAGCCACAGAGAAACCCTGTCTCGAAAAACAAAAACAAAAAAAAAAAATGATATGGCAAAGAAAAATCATGAATAATCTTCCTGAGAACCAGATCCTATAAATAGGATACCACGTCCATATTAAATTAAAGTTGTGGATATCAGTGTGCTAACTAGCTTTCTTGATACATTACAGAGTCATCTGAGAGGAGGCAACCTCAACTGAGAAAATACCTCCGTAAGATTGGGCTATAGGCATGCAAGTCTATAGAGTCGTTTCTTAGTAACTGATGGGGGAGGGTCCAGCCCATTATAGGTGAGAA